TTGATCTGTCTAACACGTTATGTTTCTGATTTATCATTATTTTATTGTTCCTAGAGGGCCCATTCTGTATATACCATTAATCAACCGTTGCCTGGCGCAACGAGACTGTGGCTCCCATGCTTGGATCGACTGGCGGAAAGATGCACTTGGGATATCGACTTTATTGTTCCAGCTTATGCGCCCGACGAGGAATTTGCAGAGGACGAAGAGGGCTGGTCTCCGGAGGACTACGATGAGGATGAGAAGGTTCAGGTCATTTGCAGCGGCGACCTCATTCAACAAACAACACACCACTCAATCCCCAGCAAAAACGTCTTTCACTACAACATACCTGTGCCAACACCAGCAGCATCCATTTCTTTTGTCGCGGGCGTGTTTGAAGTCATCAAGCTGAGTCGTGAAGACTATGCGCTCCAGGATATCGAGGATGATGGAGACACGGGCGATATGGAGGACGGCGAACGGGAAGCGTCTGAGAAACCGACAGCGGCGTCTGCACAAATTCGAGGCTCAATGCCGGACATGTTTGCTTTTTGTCCGCCTGGAAGAGCAGCAGAGTTGCGACACACCTGCGGCTTCATGACAAAAGCAATGGAGTTTTTTATGCATGAGATTGGATCCTACCCGTTTTCGTCATTCAAAATGGTCTTTGTCGAGGATGCCTGGGCTTCAACATTTACATCGGCAACTATGGCAGTGTGCAGCACAAGCCTTTTATACTCAGAGGACGTCATCGATCAGGTCTACGACTCCAGGAAGTTGCTCACGCAGGCCTTAGCCCAGCAGTGGTTCGGAATCCACATCGTACCAAAGACTTGGCCCGATATCTGGATCATTGTCGGCTTGACCAACTTTGTGACATCGCTGTTCCTCAAAAAGATGTTTGGGGCCAATGAGTACCGGTTCAGGATGAAGAAGGACATCGAGCGATGCTGTGCGACAGACAGGGACCGAGCGCCACTCTACAACCCCAACATTGCATATCCGATTGATCAGGACGATTTCGAGTTTGTTGAATTGAAGGCCCCATTAGTGTTGCACATGCTGGATAAAAGAATGTCAAAGGGTGGTTCGTCTCTGGGACTGTCGCGTGTTATCCCCAAGATCCTGGTTTCTGTCATGAGCGGCGAGCTGACGCACAATGCGATTAGTACACATTGGTTTTTGAAGACCTGCCGTAAAGTCAGCGGGCTGGAGACAAAGGGATTCTCGGACCAGTGGATCTACAACAGCGGATGCCCCATTTTTGAGTTCGCCTATAATTTCAACCGGAAAAAGATGGTTGTCGAGATTACCATGAAACAGCGCTCCACAAACGACCTGGTTGCAGGAAGGACAAGGATGGCCTTGAGCAGTGAGCATCCATCCCCGACTATCTTTACAGGAACAATGACCGCTCGAATTCACGAGGCAGACGGAACGCCATATGAACACGTTTTGGATATTCAGGATGCAGGAAAGCGCTTTGAAGTGCAGTTTAACACTAAGTACAAGCGTATTCGACGCAATACGAAGCGTTTCCAGGCCAAGCAGGCCGCTGCTGCTGCCGCCGCCCGTGAGGCAGAGGAAGAAGGTGACATTGAGGATGGAATTGGCGCACTTGGTTTCGGAGCAGGTCTCTGGGAAGATGAGAAGGAGAAAGAGGAATGGCAGGTCGTTGAGTGGGGTCAGGACGATGAAAATGGTGCCGTCAGTGCGACGTTTGAGTGGATCCGACTGGATGCCGAGTTCGAGTGGCTTTGCGAGCTACAGTTTGCCCAGCCAGACTTTATGTGGGCAGCACAACTGCAGAAGGACCGAGATGTAGTGGCCCAGTACGAGGCCATCCTGGCATTGGGACGGTTGCCCTCTCCGGCAGCATCAACGTCGCTCTTGAAGACCTTGCTGGATACAAGGTGCTTTTTTCGGGTCAGGACCGAGGCCGCGCATGCTATTGCCCGATGCGCTGTACCACAAACAGACTGGGTGGGCCTCCTTCATCTCATCAAGACGTTCCAGCACAAGTACTGTTATCCGCCAACACATGCCACCAACTTTCAGTCGCCCGACGGTACCATTCCATGTATGCCCAAGCCCAATGACTTTAGTAGCCTGGCGGAATACTATATTCAAAAAGTAATGCGCGCACCCAACGTATGCTTCCTTTTAAGCCGCCTGTAACAAGAACGAAGGCTAACTAACTAATCTACGCTATATTACTAGGCCATTCCTATTGCGCTCGCAAACATCAGGGACGAAAGAGGCTACTGCCCTTTGAAGATTCGACAGTTCCTGCTGGACCTCTTGCGTTTCAACGACAACACTGGCAATGTTTTCTCAGATAACTACTATGTCAGCACCTTGATCTCAGCACTTGGGCACTCCCTAATTCCTGATCGCGTTCACGCATACAATGCACATATGCAGGACATGTTTGAGGACGACGAGGACGAGTATGAACGTATGGATGAGGTTGCTGGAGCGGAGATCTTGGACCAGGCTGTGCGCGAGATTGATCGGTATCGCACTTTGGACTATTTGATCCCAACTTACCACAACACGGTTACCGTCAGCTGTCTTCAGGCGACCATGCGGCTCATGATGGCAGGAATAATTCCATTAGACCTTAAAACGTTTATGATGCACTCGAGATTTGGCAACTTTGTCAACGTTCGGCTGACGTCCTTCGACTCGCTACTCTTGCTGGGCGCGTTGGACAACTTCAAGGCAACTGAATATCTCTGCAGTGTAATTGAGCAGGATCCCTCGCCCTGCGTCCGTTTCCACCTCGCACAAAGTATGGCTGAAGTCTTGGGCGTGTTTATGACATACGACAGCGATAGCCATCGAGAAATGCAGGAGAGTCTGCTTGTCGAGGAGAACGGCATTTTGAGCGGGCGTGATTCTGGCGGATATGGGAGTGATAAACCCTCCACCCTCCATGGACTCGACCTCATTCGGAAGTTGTATGGCCATCAGCCGGTGCTACGGGACAAGGTGTGGGGAATATTGACTAGCCACCCATATCTCGAACACAGGATTCTGAAATATCTTTTGCTTTTCTGCGACATCCTCTACCCGCCTGGCGAGTCGATTCTTCACAAATTCAAGTTCCGTGCACCAGTTATTGGGGATATGGTAATGCAGGAATCTCAGCCAGTCTCTGAACCAGCCTCGGCTCCTGCATACACACCAAGTGCTCCAGCAACAACAGCACCCCTGCCCTCGACAACCGTCTCCATGACGAAACCAGCGACGACACAGATCCCAGCTGTCAATGCTAGCATCATGCCTGCACACCAGATCATTCCAGCGTCTGTTCCGATACCGGCGATGGCCCCAGAACTACTTGCAGCCGTAGCTTCGTCCCCTATGATGCAGCAGTCGCGTGAACATGTTCAAAAACCCGTACAGGCACCTGTACCCGCTGCTCCAATTGTAATGTCACCACCAGCTCCGAAGCTAGCCAAGGCAAAGCCGGACACGCCGAAACTTCCAAAGGTCAACAAGGTCAAGGCACCTGCAGCGTCCACTATCAACCAAGGTATGTATCTGTAAATATCTCCGCTAATGTTTAAATGTTCGTAATGAATTATCTATGCGTGTCGTGAATACTCATATCTGTGGTTTTACTTTCCGTCCTCTGTTACGCAGCGCCCGCTTACAAACCGACGCTTCAATCGGACAAGCCAAAAGTGGATATTTCGCCGCCTCTTTCTACTCATATCAAGGAAGAGCCCTTGACCTCACCCACGCTCGCAGCGCCAATACCAGCACCAGCACCAGCACCAGCACCAGCACCAGCACCAGCACCAGCACCAGCACCAGCACCAGTACCAGCATCAGCACCAGCGCCGGTGCGGTTGCTTCCAGAAGCCAAAGAACCAGCATCCAAGCTGCCCAGCAAAAAGGCGGACCCCAAGCCCAAACCTCCTGCACCTGTTCCAAAACCGACCCCTGTGGCACTTCCCGTGGCAGCTGCACCTGCGCCTAAGCCGGACAAGGGCGTCGCGCCGAGCATACTCTCCAAGCCGGTCGCAGATGAGAAATCCCGAAAAGCTCCTCAGGGTATGCCAGCAGAGCATGTCAAGCAATGTCGTAAGGTCTGGCGCAAGATGTTTAACCACCGATCATCCGCCCACTTCCGGATGCCCGTTGATCCGATTGCCGAAAATATCCCACACTATCCTGAAATTGTGGATAAACCCATGGACCTCAGTACCATCAAGACCAATTTAGATAACGGCAAATATGCCAACCTGCAAGCGTTTGAGGAGGACGTGCGACTAATGCTGAACAATTGCTTCAAGTTCAACCCTATCGGAACATATGTCTACAATCAGGGTCAGGAGCTGGAGACTGTCTTTGAGAATGAGTGGGCAGGCGTGCTGGAGAACGTAGGCGCAAAGGTTCCGGAAATGAACATCACAATCGTGGAGACCCCCAAAGGCTTGACAGCAGTTACTCCAGCAACGGCTCCTACACCCTCAAAGTCAACCACTTCAGAGTCGCTTCCTGCGGGATCGAAATCTTCATCGGCACCAAGGAAACTTTCATTTTCAAAGCAACCTCCAGTTCCTGCATATATCCCTCCATCGGTATCGACCACCGACCGTGTCCCCTCACCCATACCGCAGAGCGGTTCCTCAGTTCACAAGGAAAAGTCGTCTGCAACGGCGATCGTCAGTCAACCGAGTGTACCGTCTCCATCCAAGGGCAGCTCATCCGGTAAATCCTCCGACTTGTCCAAGTGTAAGAAGATTCTCAAGAAACTCATGGCCGACTCCTGTGCGTTTGAGTTCCTGCAGCCTGTAGATCCGATCCGGCAGGGAATTCCTTTGTATCCCAAGATTATCACGCACCCCATGGATCTGGGTACAGTTCAGCAAAAATTGAGAGCAGACGCGTACAATAGTGCAGGCGAAGTCCGTGGAGACATTGAATTAGTGATCTTCAACTGCCGCAAGTTCAACCCTAGAGAAACTTACGTTGTGAAACAGGCGGATGCGCTCGAAAAATTGATGCTTTCAGAGTGGGAGGTGATGTTTGGTAGTAGCTCTTACAATGGCAGTGGCGGTCATGGTGCGGACTCTGGCGCAAACAAGGATGCTTCTGTGGCTTCGAGCAGCTCGAAATCGAAGAGCAAGTCCGCAAAGACCGAGGATGCCTTGAAGAGTTCGGTTTCTGGAGATAATGCAGCCTCTGGAACAGCAGGTGCCCGTCGATCATCGAACACGCCCAAGCCCAAACCAGCCAAGGTTGTCGAAAAAGTGGAGCCTCCGAAAGATGTGGTCGAGAAGCACATGGAAAAAATCCTCAAGAAATGCATGAACCACAAGCACGCCGGCCCGTTTTTGGAACCTGTAAGTTAACTGGTTTGTCTATCGTCAAAGACTTATTGATTAATGAAGATGACCACTAACACGAGATTTTGGTGGCCATCGTTTGGTCTAGGTTGACTGGAAGGCGCTCAATCTGCCTAACTATCCATTATTGATCAAAAACCCCATGGACTTCTCCACGATCCGCAAGAAGTTGACTGCCGGAAAGTACGCGACCATGGATGATTTTGCGGACGACGTTCGACAGATCAGTCAAAACTGCGTCAACTTCAATGGACTGGACCACCCGTTCTCCCAAGGCGGTCTCATGATTCAGACGATGTGCAACAAGGAGGTTGAAAACGCAAAGAAGGATTTAGCGCGACTCTATCCAACGTCATCCTATGCGGTTGCATCTGTACCAGGTGGAGCGGGGACTGTGGGAGCAGTGGGGTCTGGAAAGGCTAAATCGGCAGTGAGCGAGGAACTGAACGGCCACCGCAAAATCATCGAACGACTAAAGCTCAATCCAGACTTTGGCGCCTTTGCTGTGCCCGTTGACCCGATCGCGCTAGGAATTCCAACATACTTTGATATCATCAAGCATCCCATGGATTTCGGTACAATTGAGAAGAAGCTGATTGCTGGGAACTATACCTCGGGAGCAGAGGTCATACGGGACGTCAATCTGGTCTTTTCGAACTGCGCATTGTTTAACTCTCACCCTGGGGATCTGGTTGCGGCCATGGGAGAGCGCTTGAAGAAGACCTGGGAGAACATGGTCAAGAAGGAAGGATTGAATAACCCGAAGCCAGTGGTATCAGGCGCAGCCTCTATCCCTTTGGCCTCGACAGCGAAATCGAAGACGGATTCAACTGCACCTCCAAAAAAGACGGCCTCTACTTCAGCTGCCGGCGGCTCGCCTTCGAAACCGAAGTCATCATCTGCGACAGCCAAAATAGTTCCAGCGTACATCCCGCCGTCTGCATCTTCTCCGGGTTCCTCTGGTGTTGTCCTTTCATCACCGTCGTTGCCATCACCGTCTCATCAAGCCCGACGTGGATCGTCGACTCCAGCGCCTACGCCGCTTCGAAAGGTTATGACTGCATCTGGTAATGGAGGTAGCAGCAAGCTCATTCTAGCGTCCTCCAGCTCTGCGCCCTTGCCGCCCCACCAATCGTCCACGCTTTCTTCGTCGAAAAGCAGTGGTCATTACCATCATAGTAACCATCACAGCAGCCGCCATGGCAGTAGCAGTAGCAAACACGGCCGAAACGATCTCTCCAGCGACAGTGGTCTCTCAGAGCCGGAGGATGATGACGATGATGCCTCGAAGTCTTCCTCTGTCTTGAAATCGATCCGATTGAAACCTCCTCAGCTCATGTCGCCTCCATCGGCCCGCTATGATTCTGACCCAAGCAGGAAGAAGAAACGACCTAGTGGCGAGGATCATTATCGTTCGTATGACGACGACGAGGATGATGATGGCGCATCGAGTAGCAGCAGCAAGCGGCGCAAGGGCGAGCGTGAATATTCTGAGGAGTATGCGTCTTCTTCATCAACAAGAAGGGAGCACAAACACCATAAGAGCAGCAGCAGTAGGGAGCGCAAGGAACACAAGGAGCATCGAGAGTACAGGGAGCACAAAGAACATAAAGAACACAGGGAACACCGTGAACACCGCGAGCACAAGAAACACAAGAAGAGTCGCAAGCACAAGAAACATAAGAAGCGCTCTTCGGAGGATCGGGATCGCGAGCGATACCACAGCGACGATGATGATGACCAGGACCAGGATTTGGAGACGAGTGACCGTGAGCGCTATTACTAGACGTCGTCGATGCAAAATGACACCAATAAAGTCCTTAATGTTTGCTTGCACTTGATGTTCTAAATGAAATTGATTCTGATGCCCATAGTGTTTCTAGCGCATATATTTATTTTAGAGGGTTTCAAACTTTGACATTTTGCGGCGTGTTATAAATTTTTTGTGGGCAGATATCGAGGCGCGTTTGTGACCAAAACGCGTTTTGTAACACGCCAAAATATTCAACCTAACACGCCTGTGACTTTTACAATTCAAAAAATGATGGGTAGCAGCAAGATGAGTGAAGCCGACCACCAACCCGATCCCCGGTTCAAGTCAGAACGCCAACAGCTACTATCCGACCCGGAGCAGCTCATCATTCTCACGGTCCTCAACGATGACGATGAGGAAACAGGGGATGCAATCGTGCTGTATCACCTTGTTGGTGAGTCGCGCTATACTAGCTGTGGGCAGAGGCAAATGAAGTCCACCATAGTGACGAGATTTGAAAGGGCGGGTTATATGCTTGGCTAATGAGAACGCATTTGATTTTTGGCGGATGTCAAAGTTTAAAACCAGTACGCGTTTGGTTTTGCGAATGTCGAAATTTGAAACACCCTACTATTTCGGTAATATCACAAACGCGTATTGGGTGTCAATGCGCACGACTAATGACCAGTATGGTGTATTCACCATAGCTATTGTCTTGCTTATTGAAAGTGCCCCATTTCTCATTAAGAGCATAGTGCTTCTGAGACTACCTCCTATATTTCTAGTCTCCTATACTACGTAGATGCATTTATAGATATTTCCTAGTATATAAAGCACGACTTGCCCATTATTAAAAGGACATCTTGTTTTTCACAGATATCATTCCCACATACTCCGCAGCCAGTACGACAGGATCAGGCCGCACGTCCTCAATATTTCATGTTGCATTCTAGCCTGTTTATCGACGGCACTAGCGACATTAGCATGGCGATACAAGATCTACATCTTGAACCACTGGTGCCGAAGTACGCCGAACTTCATTGTCTATAGCACCTGCTTCCCAGGGCAACTGTTGAAAACTTATAAGATCACGTATCTGGAGATGCTCCTAAGGGGTCTCATTTTTGAGTATCAAACCTTTAAGCTTTTAATCCTAGGGCGACGCGGATGTCTGAGCAAGTGATCACAAGGGTGGGGCTTCGTGAATTTCGCGGCGCGAGAATATGGTGTGACCAACACAAAGCATTTTAAATAACGGCTACCTGTAGGTATGGCGTGTGGTGTATTCACCACATTGTCTTGCTTATATTAAGTGCCCCATTTCTCTGAATCCGCCACCACTCGATGCCGATCCTTTATATAGAGCATTGTGCCTCTGGGACTACCCCTATATTCCTAGTCTCCTATATTAGATGATTTCTAGCTATTCCCTCGTATATAAGGCACGATCTGCCACTATTACAAAGGGCATCTCGTTTTTCACAGAGCTATTGTTCTGTAACAAGACGAAGGAAGACTACTTTTAATAATATTTGCAGTGCATGAGTATATACTATCGTGATTATTGTTGCGTCCTCGCCGCGCCGAAAGAGGGGGAGTATGGGGGTTTTTCTTTGCTAAATCCATGGCTGTGCTTCATTTTTTCTCCTCTTGAAATATGTTGAGTAATGGGTCCATTGATATCCTGAAAATGACATGACAGGCCCTGTTTTTTGACGAAAGTCGCGGCGGCAAGGGAATATGCCACGACAATCTCGCAACGCTATGCTGTAATGGCTCTCTCTGTGTGCGAGACTCAAAATTGTGTGGACTAGGGTTACGTGACCTACTTCTGTCAAAAGATTGCAATTGGGGCACTTATTTCTTGAGTGTTTTCTTTCCTTATGAGGCATTCAACAGTGAGATCCAGGCAGGACCCACCCTCTACTTTTTGGCTACTATGAAGTGACAAGATCTTATCAGAGTCTAGTCCTGCTTTCTAGCTCAAGATTTGGGCGGGGTTCCTGGATATTGAGTGGCCGCCAGCGTATCAATTCGTTCTTCATGGCGCGTAGTCGACCGGTGTTCATAGAAGAAAATTCGTTGATAATGCACCTGAAACAGCCAGACACTTGGCCAATACGCCGGCACTGATTCATGCCCCTGGAAAGCCAGGAACCTGGGTGGTCAGGGGTCCAACGGGTACCACTCCGACCTAGACTGTGCCGGTCAAAGTCAACAGTGCCATCCCAAAAATTATGAGACTAAGGATTTTAGAAGGGGATGACAATTCATTCGGACTAGTAGCGGGTTCTCCAAGAATTGGTGGTCTTCCAGGTTGCTTCTTAGGAACAACGGTGCCATCTTTATCCTACCTTTTCATGATCGAAAGGACTGTCTTGATGCTGAGATTGTTTTTTTTTTGGCAATGTTGGATGGGGTCACATCAGCCTCGTGGGCTCCAATGATACGACCCTTGAGTTCGACAGAATGGTGTTTGGGCATGGTGGTGGGGTGCTGGAGTGATGGAGTGAAAGAAAGATAATGACCAAGAGATTTTACAATGGCTTATTGAACCAGTCTGCGAGCTCATTTCAGTCGTATTCTAAACCCTAGTCTCATAATTTTTGGGAGGGCACTGTACATCACATCTACTCGGCGATAGGCCACGTTTCCTTTCCTGTCTTGTCATAGGCCATGTGTAGCCCCGAATAAAACCCAGCGAATGGAAGAGCCCGAAGACTCAGCAAGATTGTCCTGGATCATCAGTTCCCGGTCCCTGAATTTCCTAACCCGTTGTGGCGGAAACAGGATTGCGCCCGATAATTCAAGGTTTGCCACGAGCCCGGCGGTACCTGACTTCTTGCTAAAAGAAGCGAGGCACCAATCGCATAGACGGTGCAATTCACGGGTTCCGGCCCCTGTGCCTGGTTCCCAGAAGAAGCAACAGGAAAAATTGGCTCTTCCTAGAAGAAGAAGCAGAAGAGAAAATGTATAAATACCGGGATAGAATCAGGGATAATGGCTTCACACAGCTCAACAGTCGTCCCCCCTCCAGTACAACTACTAGTCCTCTCCAGTCCGGCACCACTACTAGTCCTCTCCAGTTATTCTCCTCGTCTTATATCTTCCATCATGACTAAGCTTACTGCCCTCTTCTTCATCGCCGCTGCCACCATGGCTACAATCGGCTCCGCGGCCCCGGTTGCTACTTCGACACCCATTACCGTCACCTCCATCCCCACTTCCACTTCCGCCGTCGTCCCTTCCGCAGTCGCCACCGCTGACGTTACTACGTCCAAGAGCGACCCCGAGATTACCGCCAACGACGCCTTCTCATCAGCCGTGACACACTCGGGCAGAGCCACCTGGTTCGAAGGCTCTTACGGCGCTTGCAACATTAACTGGAACGGCAATTCAGAGCCTATCGTCGCCCTGAACGCTCATCAGATGGGCGAACAGTCCTGGGGCAATCCAGTCTGTGGTCGCAAGGTGCGCATCACTAACACAGCCAACGGCAAGTCCGTCGTTGCTCGTATCGTCGACAAGTGCCCCGGTGATGAATGCGCCTGGGGATCCCTGGACCTCTCCCCCGCCGCGTTCATATCGCTTGGAGGAGAGCTGGCTATGGGCGTCCTGAGCATCAAGTGGAACTACATCTAAATGTTCCGTTTCTGAAAATGAAACAATTCTCGAGGCGAAGGTGGGAGGTTCAGAGCTGGTCTTTGATACTCCTCCTAACCAACTCATCATACCACGTCTCCCCTCTTACCATGCGGGTGGATCCATAGAATCATTACCTTATACTCAAAATAAAAGCCAATTGACTATAACAAAACATCATCGCAAATCTTTTTTTTTGCAGGGTTGGCGGCCCCGGGCATTGCAGCTTCACACATATCGCGTGGAGAGTGGTCTGTGCGTCGATCTAGAGGTGAGACTTCGCCCCGCGCACCATCTTTAATCCTTTACTCTAAAGACGAGTTCTATCTAGGTTCTTTCTTAACGCCCGATGCTGACAAGGTGTTAAGATTTTCAAAGATTCTCTCTCCGCAGAACAGCCATTGTTCTTTCCCGGGGATATTTACGCATGGGAGATGCATAAACATGAGCGCTACCACTTCGGAGACCAATGAACAACGCCCGATTATATTATGCTAGTCTATTTTTTCATCGCATTCCCCATCCCTCCCCATCATCTCTTTCTCTCTCTCCATCCTTGCGATCCTCATTCATTCGAACTCAACCACCTTTCTTTTCTCCTCTCACCTGTGCCTCTTCACTATGAGCAACTACAACAGCTCCTACAATAACAATAACAACGACAATCACCAAAACTTGGGTCAGGTCCAGTCCCTGTCCTCATATGAGCAGCAGCCACAGGAGGAGCAGTTCAGTGAGAAGCAGGATAGCACTAAGGTTAAGAGGAGGACGTTGAACCCCGTGAGGGCGATGTCCCAAGGTACCCAGGTTGTTGTAGGTGGAGTTACTCAAGGAGCTCAAGTCGTGAAGGGTGGTCTTTCCTCTGGTAAGAACCAATACAAGAATGCAACCCCGATTTTTACAGTGTTCAAAAGACCGAGATGTTATAATGAAATCGACTGCTTTTCTAAAACGGCTTTAACGTTTACTCCCTCCATTCAATCGATATGTTTCGATAGTTGAGAAAGGTGTCACACAAGTGGGCACAAAGCTTACCAAGGTTCCTGGGATCAGCACGGGCGTTTCGTTCTTTGCTGATTACCGCAAGTTCATGGATCGAGGCAATGTCATTGACCTGGCAGTTGCTGTTGTTATTGGTAAGGCTATGCCGCCATATTTGATTAAGTCATTCACTTGAAGCAATTGAAACGGGGGACGTTTTCCTAACAACCCCCTATTATCTCCCTTGATGCCTCGTAGGTGCTGCTTTCACTGCTGTAGGTGGTCCACCGTAGCTCTGAGCGTAAAATCGATGTATAGTAATATGAGATAGACCTAGGAACTCAATTTTCACTGTCTCCGTCTTTAATTACCTTAGATTGTCACCAGTTTGGTAACTGACATTATCACGCCTCTGATCGCCCTCGCTACGGACAAGAACCTGGAAGAGAACTTTATCGTCCTGCGCTACAATCGCGAGAATGGTACTTCGGAAGCAATGGTACCTGTAAGTTTTCTTTCGTCGCTTGACGCCGTTATTTGTGCTAAGCATTGCATTAAATGACCGCGCTTTACGATAATCCTCTAACATTTTTTAACGCTGTTGTTGTTGTTGTTGTTGTTGTTGTTGTTGTTGTTGTGGAATAGCCTGCCACTAGACAGCAGGCAAAGGATAGCGGCCACATTACTTGGAATTGGGGCAACTTTTTGCAAACAGTCATCAACTTCTTTATCGTCTCCGCATGTATCTTCCTCATTGTCAAAGGTACAATACAGCATGCATGCATAGTCAATCGAAGGACGCATGGGCCACTGAAGTTGTGCTTGAATGAATGATTTTTCTGTGCTCATGGCATTTCTTCTCCACTCTATTTTTTCGGTAATAGTGTACGAGATGGGCCGTAACAAGACGAAGGATGTAACGGAAAAGAAGTGCGACTACTGCCTCAGGAGCATTCCCTTGAACTCGGTCCGATGCCCCAACTGCACGACATGGCTTGATTGGGATGCATGCTCCAAGACTGCAAATATGGAGCGCATGGCCGCAACTGCAGCAGCAGCGCCCATTGTCCCAGGAGGACCCACGGCGCAGGCGCCCTATGCGAGCTACCCTGCAAACAATAATGTTATCACCCATCCTTGAGAGTTAGCAAATAAAATCAGCGAATAATAATGTATTGCCATGCGATAGAACCCATTTTTATTATATCAGGTCAAGCTTAAGAGCGTCACCCAAAACGCATTTCAGTTACATGCAACTTTAATGAATAGAAATCGGCAGTTCGATGGCGCGCGCACATCCGTCAAAGCATACGGCATTGTCACGACCCTACTTACATGGACATTTATGGAATGCACAATCCCAATCAATTCTACTGGTAGTCTCGGCACACCTACATTTGTCATTGAGGGCTATCCCGTGGCGTTTACGGTTCGACTTTCTGGTCTGGATGTTGGATACCACGTTGGATAGCAGCTATGCGATATCCAAGAAGGCAAAAACGCTGTAGCTGATGATGTCCTTGAAACAATACAATATCTATATCAATATAGTTAACTTAGCATTATAAATATACCTTGAATAGCCATTGAGCTCGACGCGGATGAAATCGAGTTCTGTATGCGTATCGTGGCGCGAAATAGCCTTGGGTGCACACTCGGCTCTCTGTCTGGATGAGAAGAGTCAATGAAAGATGATGGGTGGAAAGGATGAAGACTGAAATGCTTTTTTTTTTTTTTTTTTTTTTTTCTTGAGTTGGAAGGCCCACAGCCCTAGCATTGACGCGTCTGTCATGCTATAACGTATTAATATGCTGTTTATTGCAGAGAACGAACAAAGCTCACAGTGGCCATGAGATTAGGAATATAATATAAAAATGATCTATGAGAGAAAGAACGTTTCAAAAGGATCCAGTAGAGGTTCTTGTCGTCTACCATGTTATCGTTCAAAAAAAAAATGGCCCTGTCCTACTTCTTCAGCATCTAGATACCAGTACCATCGCCAATGATTGTACCGTCGGAAATGACAAAGTACTCCAACTCGTACGAGTCATGCGAGATGTCCAAAGCAGCCCTAGGCGGCAAGGCGTTGTTGGCGGTAGGCATGGCCAAGGTCAGGGATCTCTGGGTGGCACGTCCAGCCTTGTTGAGACGACGGTTGTAGTTGAAGCAGCCTTCCTTCTTGTGGCGATTGCAAAGGGACACGTTGGTCTTGGTCATCATGTCGCAGAAGATGCCTTCCTGGAGAGAGAGCATGGATATTCCTCAGGAGGTCGGGCTGTCGCGGAGGGCGATGGCACCTTTGCCGGCGGTCACGTAGGCCTTGTTTCCATAGACATCCTTGGCGAGAGCTTGCTTCTTCTTGTTTGGACTAGAACCACCGTAAAAGGTGACCCCCCAGTGGGGCAAGAGTGGGCCTGCTCTCAAGGATCCTACTATCGAGAATGGTCACAGGAGACCATATATTCCTCGTGGTGGCATCAGACACTTTAACTGGTTCCATTGGGTCTGCGCTCTGTGAGTCTGCTGTGAAAAAAGAATTCATCCCGCGTACCCACCATCGTTCCCACTCCCCAGATCTCACGCAGACTCCACCAAAGGGTGTCTAGCTCGCACGGGGTAAAACTCGGTTTCGTGCGTGTGAATTGTCGATCATCCTTGATTGCCTCCTCCATGTCGCGCAACCACTTTTCCCTCGCCTTATCCGCCAAGGTGTGTCCAAGACTCAGAACACCATCAAGTGTCTTTCTCCATTCTTCCTGTCGTCGGTCCTGTGTGGCTCTGCAGACCCAGAGGAGCTGGTTTTTTTTTATTTTTTTATTGGCACCAGATTCTCCCAGGCGCGCTGGTGCGCCATAGGCTGCATTGACCAAGCCTCGGCTTGGACTGTCAGCCGGCCGATTATACTACACTTTCTTCCCAGAGGTGCTGGGTATACTACGTGAATACTCAGTCATGTGACGCTAGACGGGATCTAAAAATGAATCAGCTTCACCCTCGTCTCAGCTCCATCACAATGAACAAGGACAGCACCAAGAGCCGTCTAGAATTATTGATCTATAACCAGGACCTTTATTCCACAGATATATATAAGACAGGCCAGACTATGTAGTTGGGACTCAGTTCATATATTCATACCAGTCTAGTCAATAAACTATTGTCTTCACCCACTCATCTTTGTTTACTCACGTTGTTCACTCGTCTCCCCTCGTTTCCACCCTCGTTTGTTCCTCGTTCACCAAAAGTCTTACAACAACAAAGTAGAGACGCCTGACACAGCCAATATCGCGAATCAGACAAGCTTGGATATTAAGTACTGTGGGAGTCGTGACAGAAAGGATGACTGGAAAGATAGAGGATGAAGGCGATTTTGGAGAGGGGGATCATACGATCGGCTGCTGGGGATAGAACCAAAAGAGGGTTGCTTGCACAGAGGTGGCAGCATTACTTTAGTACCCTGCAGTCAAACGCATAAACTAGTTTTCTGGAATTTTAACAAAAGTTTACTGCTGATGGTTTACGAATGAGCTGGGGCGTGCGTGTGTGTGCGTACGTGTGTGATTGCGCGCATTGCTGAAAAGCGGCATCCTTTTATCCTTCCAGATGCTGTCACCTTGCATGTGGCCTTCCTTGGCGCCACACGAGCATGCCACTCATTCCCCTGAATAAAATACGAAAATAGACATTCGGGGACACATGGTTCGTTTCTCTTGAATAAATAGCTCACTTCTTTATATTTTTTTTCTTTTCTTTTTTCCGAATCCCGTCCTTCATTCCTCCGCACCTTCTCGTCCTCATTCTCGCTCTTCAGCCCTCTCTCAGCCAACTTAATACCCTAGTCGAAAGCGCATTTCGCCTATTTCTATCAGCGATTGAAATAACTTCCAAGCAACAGAAATGGCTCCGAACTTCAAGGTTTTGATTGCGGGCGCCAGTTTTGGTGGCGTTACCTTGGCCATTCTCCTGGAGCGCGCTAATATCGCATACGAGGTGTTTGAGGCCTCCCCTGGCGTTTCACCCATAGGTATATATGCATACATTTCAATGACAAGAACAACTCTTTGCATGCACCAGCACAGCGCTCAACCCTCTCCTTTTTCTCACGCTTTCTTTTTTTTTTTTTTTTTTGAATCGTAGGTGGTGCGGTGGTATTAGGGCCAACGGTGATGCCGCTACTTGAGCAATTGGGCCTACTCCGCAAAGTGCAAGAGATATCGAAGCCTATCAAGACCATGCACCTTGTCCAGGAGGGCATGAAGCGGATAGGAGAAATTGACCTCTCGGACCATAAGGAGCAGTACGTTCAGTAGATCTGTCTTGAGGCGAACCCTTTTGGTTGACTTCTTGACGCTAAAATGTCCTCATGCCTCTCTAACTTCTACTTTATTTGCGTAGGACGGGCTACGACTCCTTAGTCGCAACAAGATCCGAACTCCTGGCAGCGTTGACCACTCAAATCCCGTCTCATAAGATCCATTTCTCCAAACAAATTGTCTCCTTCTCTGCCAACAAAAACGAGGTCGTGATCCGGTGTGCTGACGACACGAATTATACGGGCGAGATCCTCGTCGGAGCCGATGGCGCGTTCTCCCGGATCCGAGAGTTGCTCTATCGACAGGTCGCTAAGAAGGGTATCTTGCCGAGAAACGATGCTCTGGCGACAGCAGCTGATGCCGCAGTTGCGATGGCGTCGACTGTGCATGGAATTGAATCGGATCATGAGGATACAAGCGCGGAGGGGGAATTGTTACAAGGTGGACATGTCTCTTTGGTGGGTGTCACGCAGCCGCTGGATGCGGAGATGCTCCCGATTCTGCAGGACGCTGATAGTCGATCAGATACTGTCATTGGCGACCACACACCTCATTCGGTAGGTTTGAACAAGCATAATTTTTCTTACTGACCATCCACGCTGTTCACACAACACTTTCAGATCTTGGCCTTAATTTCGCCCGCTTTATTCATCCGTGGCATATAGTGGAGCTATTTCACCGTTCCAGGGAACCGAATATGTTGGGCGGTCAACATGCAATTGGACGATCTTACCCTTCAGGAACAACATGTCCGCACGCCTCCCAAATCTCCTCCATCGCCCACACCATCATCCATCTCCTCGTTCTCCGCATTTTCGACCTCTTCTGCAGAATCGCACCTCTCACCAGAGTTAGGATGGGAGACCGAGGAACTCGGGACGAACAAACTGGGAAAGCTACTCCGCTCAGAAGATTGCCGTTCATTCCAGACACCTCTCGGCAAAACACTCGGGGATCTGATTGATGCGACGCCCAAGGAGAACATTGCTAGAGCCCTCACCGAGCAGACCTTGTTCGAGACTTGGCATCATGGACGGACGGTCTTGATTGGAGATGCCTGCCATCGGATGCTGTCCAATGCGGCACATCAGGGAGCCGTCAATGCGATCCAAGATGCGGTAGTGCTCGGAAACCTGATCCATGACCTACCCTCGGCTTCGCCTGGAAACCTGGTCGAGATATTCAAGGACTTTCAGGCGGATCGTTACCCCCATATCAAGGCTCAGATGCACATGAATATCAAGGTCGGCAAGTTGATGTCGGCGCAGGTAAGCAAAAGCAATTTTTTTTTACATATATATTTTGCTTGTTTAATGTGGTCGTATACTTACTGACACTATTTGCGTTTAACTATAGAGCTGGACAGAAGCATTGATGCGTAAATTCCTAGTGCGATACATGTCCAGGATATACCAGCACTTCTGCGACGACAAAATCCTGGCAGATCGTCCGCAGGCGACGTTCTTGCCACTGATCGACAGTCGTGGACACGTTCACGCCCATCCTCAGAGGGAGCATAAAGTCTTTGGCGGGGATTCGGGTTGAAACTAAGAAACCAAATATATCTGTCTGCGTGGTCAAAGCAAAAAATAAATAGAACAAAGTAGAGTGGATCGGGCATTCATCCCTAAACTATAATAGTAACTAATTGGTTTTCGAGAACAACTTGGTTTATTTAGGGCTAGGCTTCATAAAAGGACGTTTTAAGGAATAAAGGGAAGGGTGATCATAACAAAGAGCATGCCAATATGAGGGAGGAGGGGGGGCATGGTATATGGCGGATCGAAAAAAGGTGAAGGAAAAAAGTTAGGCGAGTAGCGAGTAGTGAGTGTGAGTGGGCTTATGACATAAAAATAAAATAAACTAAATGATTACAAATTAGTGGCGAAAAAAAAAAAAAAAAGACGTGTTCTCCCGAGACAGTCAGTATGCCTTCGCAAGAAAAGAAAATAATATAACAAATATCAATACAAAGGTGGGTGGGTAGGGGTAAAGATAATAATGAGTAGAATAAATAAAATAGTAAAGAGTGGAGAGTAAAAAAATATCAAAGATGTGAAGGAGGGAAAGAAGGTGTCGAAGACAATAAAAATAAAGGAATAGAAATTAGGATGCTTCCTTGGGAATGGGAAGCGCGACACGTCCCTTGCACTGGATGCAGACGAGATGGTCGCGCTCGTGCTTGACGCGGTCAGCCTCCATACTCGCATACTCTGTCTTGAGAGGAATGTACTTGCACTCAACCTTTGTACAAAACACATTCGACTTTTTGTATCTATTTCACCATCAACAAAAAAAAAATAAAGATTTAGTCAACATCATCTTCACCGAGCTTCAGCGGCCACCTCTCCCTCCAAAAAGGACGACAGGAATCAAGTATACCTCAGTCCGCATGAGTTGCACAGGACGGTGTTAACGATATATCCAGGTCGCCAGCACGGCGTGTCATTTGCTCCGCATGCTTCACAGTGCTTAGACGAAGCGGTTGTAGTCGCTCCATGTCCAAAACCTTGTCCAGCCATGCTAAAGATTGATCCTCCATGGTGTCCCGCACCAGAGATGGAAACCTTAGCCTTGTTATGCTGCTTGAGCTTGGATGGATCTGCAACCGTCGGCTTCTTTTTCTTGGGCTGCTGCGGTGATGTTGTTCCTCCAGCAGTAGCGGCGGCAGTCTTCAACGTCTTGGGCGTAGACATCTTGCCATTTGCGCGCTTCTGATTAACTGCCTTGTCCTGATGCATCACTCGTTCGTGAAGTCTTCCTCCAGATGCCTCGCGATCATCCTGGCTGTCGCTGTGATCATCATCGACTCCGCCTCTGTAGGGAACAAATTCGTCTTCAGTTTCGTCGTCATCCACAGTTCCATCGTGCATCTCCATCAGAGCCTCTGCCATAGCCAAAGATTCGTCGTTGGATCCATGGATAGAATGCCTTGCATCTCCAGCCTTGCGTCCTCGTTTGGGTCCACCTGTACCAACATCGGCATGCGATCCACCCTTCCTAGATGCCTTAGTGATATTGTGTTTGGCCTTCTTGGATACGCTCGACGATAGATCGCTAACCTCCTCTTGGATGGATCGCTTGCGCGCTGCCTCAAGCCCACCATTGACTCTGTTATTGATGTTGTTGTTGAGGTAACCTCCTCGACCAGCAGCATTACCCTTGCGTGATCTACCATCCAGAGACGATTCGCCAACGCTTTCATCCTCGGATTGAATGGCGTTCAAAAGGGGCTTCAGTGTCTTGAACTGATGATATCCGCGTCCCGATCGCTGGAGGTCCATGATCTCGCGAGCACGTATCGCCTCGAATTCTGCTTCCGAAACAGGAATAACACCATAGGAACCTGCATGATAACGTTCCCTATCGTGGGCCTGCAGAAATTCCACTCGACTGTTTTCCTCCTCTGTATCGTTCGGATCAACAGCAAAGTTCTTTCCACCAATCCTTTTCTGCGTCAGCCTGGTGTCTTTCTTGCCCTTGCCCTTCTCTCTGGGTCCCGACGTCGAGGCGGTAATGGACGCCCGACGCTGATTAGATATACTGCGCAAGCGCCCTTCAGCATCAGAGTAGCCGTCAAGGTATTGCTCCTCGTCCTCGATATCGTGTGGCTCCTCCCAGGATAGATCCCTGTGGTCGTGGCGACCTCCCGCAGTTTGTCGAGCCTTGGCTGTCAGTTTGTCTTTGCCCTTTGGGCCTCGTCGCAATGAGCCACGTTCAAAGGTCGAGGATGACAGCTCCACAGGTGAGCCGAGCTTCATGGGTTGACTGGAGGCATGGTTATTTTGCTGGTATGCCGCCTCGTCCTGAGCTGGTGGAGAGATCGAGGGAGAGAACGATCCGTGACCATCCACACCATGCGCTCGTCGTCTGTGGCGTGAAGTACCTCTGCCTGGGCCGTGGAAATCGCCTTCCTCCAGGACATCAGCCTCTTGGATGGTATGACTCGATCGACGTCTCTTCAAGCTGGTTGAATGAATCTGATCTGCTCCAACGTACTCATCTGCGTCGTCGTCCTGCCGTGCTCCCTGTGTACTGATCGATCCCCTGCCTTTTCCAGCACCAGCCTTTCGGCGCTTGCCTCCATTAGATCCGCCATTCTGAGCAGCCATCTCCGAGTCCTGCTCCGTCTGCTTCGCCTCGAGTTCCTCCTGGAACTTGACAAAATCGGAGAGAAGTGGAGGGTAGGCCTTGATTCTTGCTCCTCCGGGAATGACGAGGTCCGTACTTGGTGGCGGGAGAATTCCTGACCCCTTCACAAAATCCAGCTCGTTGCGGGGGATCAATGATTGTCTCCGAATACTCAACCACCTCTGGGCCCATAAAGGCAACAGCGACGGATCATCCTCCTGCGCTATAGTTGGTGAATCTTTGGAACCCTCGCGCTGCGGATCTGTCTCTTTCAAGTCAATGCTCGCATGCTGTGGTTGTGGAGTTGCAATTTCCATAGCGGTGACGATGACACTGACAGCGATAGACTCGACGTTTTGCTGCGCCTTCTCGCTCTGAGGAGTGTCGAGAACATGTCTGGGGTTACTCGTGCCTCCATTTGGTGTTTCCATCCTCAGAGTCGCGGAAACAGTTGAGGTCGAAGGAGGTGTCGGCATGCTGTCCTGACTGATCTGTTCATCAGTTTCCATCGCTGTAGAAGCCCCTTGGCCATTAACAGCTGGATCCTGACCCAAATCACTCTCATCGGATACACTCGCTTGTTCTACTGAGGCGTCCTGGTTCGATAAATTGATTGGCTGATCGAGAGGATGGGTCGCTTCCTGTTCTGAATAGTCCTCCTGTACACGGATCCCAAGACCTGATCGCGTGAGAGGGGAGGCAGGCGTCGTCTGTCCGTTAAAGAGATTGTGTTCAGAGACGTCCGGACCAGATACCGAGCGGCGTATGGAAGAGGCCGGGGAGGGATAATGCGAAGGAGGTGTGTTGCCTGCCGTTCCATCCTCGGAGCCGGTCAACGAAGGTGATTTTGCCGAACGAAGGTAACCAAACGGCATCTGGAAAATCACACCTGGTGATAGCTCTTGGGAATCAGTCCAGCTTGGAGATCGCATCGGGATACTCTTCCTCTTTGATCTCATAGCCGTAGGCGTGGCGGGTAAAGTGGGGCTTGACGTAGATATGAGAGGAGATGACGCAGTAGGCGCAGCAGAAGGATAGGTTTGAGCTATTCGGAAAGTCGAAATAGCGGTCTGGGTAGGGGATGGCGCCGTGGCTGGGAATTGGAATGCATCCATGGCCGTCGTGTGGGACACTGGGGGTCCAACGGCTGCTTCGTCGATCGAGGTTGTAGGCAACGAGTACAGGGTGAGAGCTGGAGAGGCAGCATAAAGGACGGTACGTAGCCCCAAGGGTGAGGGCACGACTGGAGCAGGCGACATTGAGGAACGCCTGCGGTTGTCGAGATCACTTGGAGTGCGACCCATAGATATCGTATTTGGATCAGGAAGGGTCAATAGAGTGGATTGTGAGACGTGAGGAACCGAGGCTAGTGTTGAGTATGAGGACAGCGTTGAGAGCGAGGCGGATCTTCCAGTCTGGCGCGTGCTGGGATTGGGCAGGCATTCTGAATGGCGGCGAAAACTCGTAGAGATGTCCATGGATGGGCTGCCTGAGGTCCGGACAACGATATCTGGGTGGGTTGGATGGAGATGTGAGCAGGTATCCTCGAAGATCTGGTTGTGGAAAGGCGGATGGGTTTGTTTGCTGGCCCTCGCCTCTGTCCGAGTGGAGTGCTTATTGGAGGTAGTGGAGCTACCCAGGGTTGCGACCTGAGCCGCCTGCTTCGAGGTTACTGTGCGCGAAAGAGATTTCGCTCGGAATACTTCATTAAGAGACGAATGTTCTGAGGACTGGAGCTTGTGCAACAGTGTAGGAGGATATGGTGTTGGGAGTGCTGCAGGATCGGGCGCCGCCGCCGTCTCGCATATGGTTGCCAGGGCCTGGGAGGCGGTTTCGGATCGGAGAAACCCCCGCTGCTGGAAGAGATGGATCTCCTCGGGGGAGAGACGTGCTTTGCCCTGGGCGGTGAGTGCCTGGATCTTGCTGAGACTGACTCGGTATTTCTTCGGCGGTGATTCAGAGCGCGTGGAGGAGTCCGTTGAGGAGGGCAGGGCTGCGGCAGTTGTTCCAGTGGACATGATGATTGGAGATGTATATTCGCCTAGATCTGAATAGGGAAGTGAAGTGATAACAATAGATGTTAGGGGAAAAGCGGACCCCAAGGGGGATGGGAGCAGAAAGGTGCTGATATACACACATCTCCTGTGGTGGTGATGATGATGATGATCCTTCGGGGGAGAGATATGTTGCCATGGGATCAAAAAGAGATTGACTAGGCCCAACTAAGACCCGACCAGACAAGACAGGAGTAGCAACAGACACAGCCTGGAAGGGGAAAGGCGGACAGGGAGGCGGTACTTCGACCGACAGCGGGGTACATGTTACCACATTTGAGCACGTTTTTTTTTTTTTTTTTTTTTTTTCCTCCAATGCTTCTGTTTATACCCGCGTCTTGTGCAAAAATAAAAAGAGATCGACCTTTGACCTTTTGACAGGGAGGGGGGGGGGGGAACCACACGAGATGGCTCTATATCCTTACGTATACAAAGAAAGACGACTGGCGACCGATGAACAACCTCCAGCGACCACAAACAACGACAAACGACGGATGCGTGTGGTATGGCACTATTCCACGATGGTGTTTAATTCGATGATATTGTCCCGAAAAGAAACTAATAAAGACGAATAAAACAGATGGACGATCATAAGCAACGAGAGCACTTCCAGGAAAGAGAGACTCGAACATCGATTACGACAAAACAAAACGAGACAACCCAACACACTCTCACACACACACACACACACACACACGCACACTCAGACAATGCACCATGCACAATGCAACATTGTACATGCCGCTAACCATAACAATAAAGATCCAATCCAATCCAATCCAATCCAATCCAGCACACGCTCTTATCCTCTCGTTTACTCGCTCTTTTGTTCAAAACAAAGACAGAGCCAGACGGAGGTAGATCAAGGGGGAGAGGGGTATATCAGATGTGCACACGAGCAAAAGGAGCTGGAAAAAGGCGGTCTGGTAGTGGTGGATCGGACACGCTCTGGGCGTTGCAGGCGTAGGCGTAGGGAAGGAGGAGAGATGATACTAAGAGGGTGTGTGATGTTCTTTCTGAAAACGGGTGTGGAGTGTGAACTGCTTGCTGACTGGGCGCAGGATGTACCTTTTCTGGTTTTGGTTTTGGTTTTGTGTGGGAGAGACTGTTGCCAAGAAGGACGGACCGTTGGGTTGCGGGGTATTGTTCCCGGAGTTCAGCACACAATGGGGTCTGGAATGAGATGGAATGAGAAGAGAGCGGGAAGGGCAGAGGAGTAAGAGGGGTCTGCACAGGATAGCGGGGCAAGGGCAAGGGCAACGGGGTGGAGGGAGGGGCCAAAAGGGAGGTTGCACGAGCAATAAAGAAGCGAGGGGGCGAGAGAAGACGAGGAGGGAATGGAAATGTGAATGTGCCGAGTAGGAGTAGTAGTAGTAGGAGTAGTTGTGGTGGTGGGAGAGTTTAATGAACAGTGGAGAGAAGGGGGGAGAGAGAAACTGTGGGAGTGAGAGAGAGCGTGTGTGTGGGAGAGGGTGTCGCAGCAGAGAGAGGGAAAGGGAAAGAGAAAGACTCGGATCGTGGAAACAAAGAAGGACGAGAAAAGGAGGGAAAAAAAGAAAGTTAGGATCGATCGATTATACGATGGCCCAGTGGAGGTGGGCTGGAGGTGTGTTAATATGAAGTGTAAATGTCGAGGGTGCCGCTGCTGCCTGCCTGGCCTGTCTCACCTGTTCTCTTCTCTTCTCGTAGATATTCATGCACATTCATCCGCACACCCATGCAGCCATGCAACGAGGGCGTAAGAAGGCCTGTTGCTGTAGTTGTTGTTGCTGCTATGACCGATCGATGGTACGGGTTTGTTGTTGTTGTTGTTGTTGCTGCTGCTGTTGTTGTTGCTGTTGTTGTTGTTATTGTTGTTGTTTGATTTCATCTCTGGATGCACACTTCACGAGCACACTCCCGAGCGGAAGATCGATCCATCGTCTCTCGTGTCTTTGAAAACGATGCGAGAAGGAAAGGGCTGTCCTCTCCTTCTCCTTATTCTTTCTCTTCATCGACTCAACCGGATCAAGACAGCTGCATCATCTGGCTGTAGATTCCCGCTTCTGATTTCCATCTCTGTTTCCTTTGCGACAGGTCCCCTTTCCCTCCAAAACCACCCCTGGGATGGGAGGCGAAGGCCCCTCGGAGCATTTGCAGACCGTAATTGCTTTCAGCAACACGCACATCGTTTTTTTTCTTCGCCTCACTTTCCTTTGAACTGCCTCGGATTCAAACTGCTGAGCAGACCGAGCAACGTTTGACCAACCAGGAACGGAGGATCCCCGCTGCCTTTATCAACATGATAGTCTATCGTATTTGAAACCATCGTCCTCATGGAAATATAAACGTCCACAGACTGATAGACAAGGTGCGGGGTGGAAGCTGCTCTCATAGACGGTTCAGAACAAACAAGACGAAAAAGAAATGAGGGCTCTCTTTGATCAGCTCGCTCAAATCTGTCTCTTTTACTCCATAGTCCATCGTCCACCACCAACCTTTATTGTGTTTGGGCGTACAAACAAGGAAAATGAACTACACACACACATCCACATCCACTTACTGGCACAAAATACTTGTAGAGAGTGGGAGACAGTATGCACCAAAGCATGAAGATAGGAATGAAACGAAAAAAAAAAAAAAAAAAAAAAAAACCGTCGAACCAGGGGGAATAAAGAGGAAAAGCAGGCGTCTGTCAGCGTATGTTTGCAAGCACATATTTGCGCTGATGCAGGGTTAGAGTCCTTTCCGGCCTCGAGAAAAATGCTTGATCGGTGTGAGACATTGTGTATCTTGGTGTCCTGGGAGACATGAGACAATCGTTCCACGTTGAATCGGCTGCCAAAAGGATGCTCCCATTACAGAGAGAAAGGTTCGACGATATTGTTCTGAGTGCTTTAAGAAATGAAAGCGACTAAGGGGTGATCTGGACCGCAGCGCTGTGTTGAGTTGTCAGCATTTGTCAGATTCCACAACCAGCGTGGTTCCGTGCTCTTTACGACCTGTGAAAAAAAAAAATCGAATACAACAAATTGATCCGCAGCTGCGCAAATAGCCTCGAAGATGCCGCTGGCTAATAGATATGCTCTGTGAATTTGTGGAGGGTGCAACCATGGCCATGTTCGATCTGCACAATTGCTTGGTTGACCACCTGTCTGTCTGTCCTGGCAGAACACCATGGGTCCATTTTTCGCCCTGCTTGTTCATGGATTGCACATGCACCCTCCAGTCTGCTCGGCATTGACCTCTCCCTTTCAACTTGGATTGTTTTTTTGTACAGTACACACATTCATGCAAAACGGTCCCGTCCTTAGTAACCCACCATTCCATGAGGGTCTTGCATGCCTTTCCATCCGCTAGCATGCGGGCACTCGGGGTGTTATTGGCCTACCGGACTAACGGATAGCACAAGAGTTGACCCCTGTCAAAACGTTCATGTGCACCAAACTGTAAATTGGTGCTGATTGTTTGTATCCAATCGACTGATATTCAGTGTACTCACCGTCAAATACACCCTTTTTTTCACGAGACAGGGAATGGCTCAAAATGGAAGCGGCGGGAGGAACGGGGACATTGCCCCCCCACACCTATTCCAAGCGTCCGTGGTCGATTAGAGCGCGCGCACAGCATGTTGTGCACACTGTTTGGGCAGACGCTTATGTGATCATTGCCGCTGAGGGCATCGTTCAATTCCAGTCAAAGATAAAATCCCCATTCAGATGCTTGGTTCTCAGGACTACGAAAATTGACTCTATACACGATCTGATAGGCCAGTCCTGACGCGTTCGATCTCCGTAGGAAAACTAAAACGCGTTCCAAGACAATCGTGACAAGTGGACGTTCCGGGATTAATAGAGATGAATATAACTAGGATGTACATTTTTCATAACATGGCTGCAACAAGCTTTTTGTGTCTTCTTCTACCTTTCACTTTTTTTCTTTTTTTTTCTTTTTTTTTTTCTTTTCTTTTCTTACTATTTTTTTTTTTTTTTTTTTGACCATAACATTCAGATGTAGGATGAGGACCTCTTGCACTCATCAGAAGCCAGCATGCCTACGACGTTTACGGATGCATCCTAGGCTGCCTTGGCTCAAGAGAAATATAGGTCTGCTCCATCGAGTGATGAATTTTTGTTAAGAGTGACAAAAGCATTGGCTATTGCTAAAATGCAGTGCCGTTTATTGCATATCGCTATAGCACAACATAGAGCTGTATTGTGGCTTCTGAGATCTCTATCTTCAGTATTTTCGCATGCTATTCAAGCTGTGTCTTCTCGTAGTCAAGAGACGCGGCATTTGCTGGCTGCACACAACCTGGAAGTGCAGGAAGTACGTGGCTTAGAGCCAGATTTGGATATATCCCAGTGGAGCTAGAAAATGTTTTGCTCCCTCTTTTTGCTGGCCTTTACATAATGAAGGTGCGAACTCACGCATTGGATCCGTGCGACACCATATCATCCATCCATCCCTTGATTGCATCCAGGAACTACATCGCCGGACAACAATCTCAACTATCCACTGTCTCCATTCATCAGGACATCGCTAGCACCCATCAGCCATCCCCAGCGCCTTAAAATTCATGGCGGGACTATCGTCAAATAGATTTGACTCAAAAAGAAGCTAGATGTTCTATAACATGACTGAGGAATCATGGATCCGTCTTACCGATCGTTCTGCACAATGTTCGTGAATATTACTCGACAACCTGTTTGTATGGGGCTATGAATCCGAGCTGGACCTTCTACAACCATCAACTCCCTGCGCCAAAAAAAAGTCATCAAAGCGCTCTCAGTCTTTTCGGGATTAGTACGAAGGCGACAAGCGTTATCATAACACCCTCTACGACAATCCTTTCGGCTTCACCTCCACAGCCTTAGTTTCTTTATATCACACTATTCGTCGCCGACCCTTCAACAGGATTCCTCAACTGACGAATCTTTCTCTTTTTTTCCTTACCCTCAAACAGTTGAACATTGCCAACCCAGCCACTGGCTGCCAGAAGACCATCGATTTCGATGATGAGCGCAAGACGTAAGTTTTGTCGAGAAACGAATTCAGCAACGGCAGGATTAATAAGCACTTGGAGCAAGCATTTCGACTGTCCACAACATGGGACCAAACAAGGTGCAGGGCGTTGATCAGCCGAAGTGCTCGAACTTGAACAGGCTGCAGCGGATTCTATTTGTTTCAGTGAGGCAGTCCCGCCTCAATGGCGTATCAACTATGCTCACCAACTTGAACAACAACCAAAGCCTTTAACAACACACGGAAGACGCAGCAGTGCTTACAGGCGGCGACTAACCTCTGACCTGGACCCCTGTCTTTTCGGCGCTATATTATATAGCCGCATCTTCTACGACAAGCGCATCTCCGCTGAGGTCGCCGTCGACTCCCTCGGCGACGAGTTCAAGGGCTACGTCTTCCGCATCACCGGAGGTAACGACAAGCAGGGTTTCCCCATGAAGCAGGGTGTCCTCCTCCCCTCCCGTGTCCGCCTCCTGTTGTCCAAGGGCCACTCGTGCTACCGCCCCCGCCGCACTGGTGAGCGCAAGCGCAAGTCTGTCCGTGGATGCATCGTCGCTTCCGACATGTCTGTCCTCTCCGTCACCATCGTCAAGCAGGGTGAGCAGGACCTTCCCGGCCTCACTGACACCACCGTCCCCAAGCGTCTCGGACCCAAGCGTGCCAACCACATCCGCAAGTTCTTCGTACGTACAATTGAACAGACAGTCAAAATATGGATCGGAAGAAATGCATCATTGGGATGCACAGGATCATTGCCCGCAGGCCATATCTTTTTAGTGAATGAAGGGAGCACAGAGCAAACAGACTTGGAGAAGACTATCGAGGAGCATATCGGGACTATATTCAGTATGCCGGTCATCTCAAATTATGACTTTTTCGGTCCTAACAAACACGGCCTTCTACCATCGGATATTGGGAAGTACAAACTCCATTGCGGTGAAAAGTATGTGCTGACCATATTTTGTCTTCCTTTTGTGACTTTCCCCGTCTTTAGAACTTGACCAAGGATGATGATGTCCGCAAGTTTGTCATCCGTCGCGAGGTTCAGCCTAAGAACCCCGAGAAGAAGCCCTACACCAAGGCCCCCAAGATCCAGCGTTTGGTCACCCCCGTTGTCCTTCAGCGCAAGCGCCACATCTTGGCTCTCAAGAAGCGTCGTGCCGAGAACGCCAAGGAGGCCGAGTCCGACTACAAGGCTCTTCTTGCCAAGCGTGTCAAGGAGGCTGCCGAGAAGCGCCAGGAGGTCAAGAAGCGTCGTGCTTCCTCCCTCCACAAGGCTTAAGTTTATTGTTTTGTTCTCCTTCAAAAATGTATAAACTTCCCATCAACTTTTAGCTGAATGGCCCAAATTGAAAAAAAAAGAAAAAAAAATGAAGCGTGTTGTGCTGTTTGTTGTAAAGGATATGTTCTCTCCCTCTTCTGTTGCTGTGCGCATGGTGGTATGGCTGGTTGTATGGCTGAATACAAAAAAAATTGGTGGCAAAGATTGTCGACGGTCACATGGCGATGGAGGCCAAAAGCGGCCTGGCTTTGTTTTCTCTTTCCCTACTCCTTCTTTCGAGCACTTCTCCATATACCCTTGGACTCCCACTCCTCCAACCCATACACCTTCCTCCACAGCTGACTTCCATCCATCTCCTTGCTTGCCCTTTATCCCTGTATCTCCCGTTTGTTTATCATTCAATTGCTTGCTACTTCAGTTCCACAAATATGAGCTCTCCAACCGCACGAGCCACCAACACGACCGTGAAGAAAAAGACTGTAACGACTTCTTTGAGCAGCAGCGCCAAACGGTACGTTGATCAGTTGATGTGCCTCGAGGAGCTCTGTACCAGCATCGTTGTCCAGAGATATCAAAACCTGTTTGCTCCCTTTTTCATTCCTTCAGCGGCATGTCGCAGAATGGAACGAATGAATGAAGAGGAGCCGTGCTCACCTGCTATACAGCTCGCATACCCGGATAATTGACGGCGAGAGGGTAGAGAAAGTATCATCAGCCTTATATTTGTTTCTCCAATGCTGTATGTAGCATACAAAAGGAATTGGCGGAGATCAACTTGGATCCACCCTCGAACTGCAGGTACATATATAATATACTTGGATTATCCTGGACGCTCTCGTGACATGTGTAACAAGGACGGTGGCCGTAGTCTGTGCACGTTCTCTCAAGCTCATGAACCATCCATTGACTTTATCTTCCAACAACCTTTCTATCGATATTGCAGCGCGGGACCCAAAGGAGACAACCTGTACGAATGGGTAGCGACGATCATGGGTCCGAGTGGATCACCCTATGCCACGGGCGTCTACTTTCTCGACATTCACTTTCCTCAGGATTACCCCTTCAAGCCTCCAAAGGTGAATGAGACATTCCTCAATGCACCTATTAAAAAATTACCTGTGCGGTGAACGCTAGCACTGACAAGGATCCCTGCTTCTTTCGCCTATGACATTTATCAGATCATATTTCGCACCCGGATCTACCACTGCAACATCAACAACCAAGGCCAGATCTGCCTAGACACCTTGAAGGACAATTGGTCGCCCGCCTTGACTATCTCGAAGGTTCTGCTTTCGATCTGCTCGCTTTTGACGGATGCCAATCCTCGTAAGTGATGCCTTTCCCCCTTCCGACTGAACCAGCGATTCATTGTCGCACGGTGATAAGACTGTGCTAACCGTGAATTATTGCGACGTCTGCATCTGTTTAGATGATCCTTTAGTTGCCAGTATCGCCAACCAGTACCTGAATGACCGGGAGGAACATGATCGAATTGCGAAAGATTGGGCCAAGAGGTACGCTTATGCTCAAATGTCTGCCTTCTAATATCTGCTGACTGAGGCGGGTTCTAACTAATACTGCTTTTTTTGATTGTTTGATGAATAGGTATGCCAGCTAGATAGCATGCGCAAACCTCTATATGGGACCTTTTCTATCTTCGATCTATTAAATATGAATGACTAAAGTTTCAGATCTGTTGGCATGCATCGTCTGCGCATCATTTTGTGCGAAATCAGAACATCCTTTATTTATGTTTCTATCGAGATTCCATTGGCTGTGTACATTCCTTTGCCACGCGCCTTCGCCTCTACGGGTTGGTTTTTTAGTCCGATTTTGTCTTTTGAGAGTAAATGCGTTTCATGTGAGGACCCTAGATTGCGTGATACAAGTGAGTAGCAATGTTAGGGACATCAAACTACATTGCCATCTCAAAAACATGGCGGAAGATCGTTACCGGGCGTCAATTCATACCTCAAAGAACATGACCGAGATCCAGAAGATAATGTACATGTCGATGGCGAGGACGTATCCGATAACCGATTGATAGTAGATCGCAGTTCCAACGAGAGACAAAGTCGTGCCGACATATTGTGGGTCGCCCATGTACTTGTATGGACCGTCTGTAACCTGTTTAAAAAAATAAAAAAATCCGTATATTCGTTATTAGTCCCCTTCAAAAAAAAAAAAAAGAGGGGAGGGGGAAGGAAGGAAGGCGAGGTGAGGCAGGAGTGAGCTGACTTACGGGAGCATCAAACAAGAATCCAAAGCTGTCGCCGTTGTACATTCCCTTGATTCCGAGCGACTATTGTGACAAGAAAGAGGTTGTTTTTGGTGAGGAAAGAGTTCATGCCATGTGAATATGAATTCCAGGTGCCAGAGATCTGGGCGACTTACGTTCAAGGTCCAGAGGTTCAAGAGAAATCCGGTAATAAAGCAAACAGACCCAACGACTGTCGCGACCGCGGCAGGAAAGATAACCAGCTGAATTTGTTTTGTTTTGTTTTAAAGGACAATTGGAAAGTACAAAAAAAAAAAAAAAAAAAAAAAAAAAGACGCGTCAGAACGATAACTTCTTCTCAATGCACAAATGAGAGTTGACATGATTATTTAAGAACGAAGCAGGGACACATACTGATCCAGCATCAGGTGCAACAGCGAGGTGAATAAAATGGTCGCGGATCAGGGCGCTCAGGACCAAGTAAACGGCGTAGACGTAAATCGCGTTCTTGCCAATAATCTATTTTGTGCATACAGGGGATGGAATGAGAATCAAAGTTTGGTTGACTCTACTTTTTTTTCGTGGGGGAAAAAGACGAGAACAAACTATCACGTGGAGATTTGTACTCTTTACCTTGGTAAACTGGTGAGTGTTGTACTCGAAGCGAGCGGTCAGGTTGTAGTTGGCGACGTGCAGGATCATGGCCACTGAATCGTTTGTAGAGAGAAGACAAACAGATAAAGGATGAATCCAGGATCTATCACCAGTATTTAATCCGCGATATCCTGATCAATTGAATCGTCGATCACTTTTTCGCCCCATGTTTTTTTTTTTTTTTTCTTCCTTGGTGTTCATCCAAGCATGCTAGACGTTACAATCTTCGATGTTGGAACTCCTGTATCTCCTCCACTTGAACAGCCGTCTTAGTATCCTCAGGATCGTCAGCTTCCATAATAATCCTGCATCACCCTTGGTATTTTCCAGGGATACGCGGATAAAAAAGTATTGTCGGGGTTTAGTGTTTGAATGAAAAAGAACAGCTTACGGATGGCGACCTGGCATGGCGGGGTGTTGATCTTGCTCCAGAGAAACTCCACAAACTCGGGCGACTGCAGGCCTGCAACAGAGAACTCGAATGAAGTAGGGACACCCATGGCGGTTAGATTTCAGAGTAAAAAAAGAGGGAAGGTGATCAAGGACAACGGAGCCCACAGACGCAGAAAAGAAAGAAACGTTGGGGATTGCAGCAGTGGGACTGCCCAAGCGCGTGTTCAACTTGGAATAATGACACATGTGTGCGTCCATGCGTTCGACTCCACGTAGACGCGACTTTATTTGAAATTGAAGGAGAGGGGTATTTGAGATTTGGCGCGGATCAGATCTACGCGGCTTCCGTATCCGCTGCGGTGTCCTCCTTCGCCTGCTGCTCTACATCGTTGCCGCCTTCTTCATTATATTCGTCCTGATCGTCATCCCCAAAATCAAAGCCGAACGAGAAACCAGCCCTGGTCTGTTCGGCACTCTCGTTATCTGTTCCAACGTTATAAAGACCGCTCCCCAGCTTCGCCTGCTCCCAGAACGACAGCTGCTCTTGTGTGTTATCTGTGTGCTCCTGACCTCCTTTACACCTCTTGATGGTCTTGGACAACTGTTCGATCTCTTGCTCATGCTTGATCCACATGTCTAACAATCGTTGCCGTCTTTTGGTTTCTTCATCGCTCAGCTGTAGCTCTAAATCCTGTTTCGCGCCCTTGTCCTTATCCTCGTCCTCCTCTGCAGGGCCATCAGGAATCCAATTGCTCTTGAAAAAGGCCTCCTTGAATTCCTCATACAATCCTTCCCTGCGCTCATCCGCAACGCCTGAGACCTGATCGCGCTTGAAATACAAGAACTGCATGGTCTCCTTCAAGTTTTGGGATCCGACATAGTTCTGAGTGACGGCAATGCAATCTTCAAGATTCACGACAGCATGCCACCACCCTCTCGGGACGAACATGATCTCGCCCTCGCGACAGATCCCTTCCAAAGGTCGATCTGCTGCATCATCCGGCAGTTGAGTTGAGGCGTAAAAGTTGCTGAACCATTCCATGAGGGATACTGGCGATGTGACCTCGGACTCGTCTTGTAGAGAGGAGTCGATATGAGAACAAAAATAGAGTCATGTTAAATACTTTTGCAAATCCATAGAACCTGCTTTCACTGCTGCAACATAGTAATAAAGTCCTCTGCATGCTACCTTCGTTAGTAAAAACGCCAGGAGGCAGGATATGAGGCGGGAACATGATCCATTTCTTAGACCCAGTGATGACAGCGTTCCATGCAGACGTCGCATTGGGGTCCTATCAAAAATCAATACGAGAAAATCGTTGAGCGGGCTATTTCTTTGCTGCCATGAGCAATGGGAGGGCCCACGAAGCAGCGAAGGTACCTTGTGAAAAGTCGATCCAGATCGTGCAGGTCCGACAATAAGCCATCGATAATCCGGCCGTTTCTCTCCCATCATTCCAAAAAAGTCCTCCCGAAAGTACACAGGCACCTCCATGTCGTCCAAAATGCTTTCGCACCGCTCGCCAAACATTTTGTCAAACAGATAGAGTGGACTCTCATCCTTGGTTCCTTGTGCATACTTGAAGTAGTTCCTCATGGTCATATCTACGGACTCTGCTCTCAAAACCGAATCCGGCCACCTATTCAAAAAATATTCTGTCGACCATTTCGTCCTGGCAGGCCAATGCTGTGCCCCATCCGTGATGATCACTGGTCTCCCTGGATGTTCATACTCCTGGATGAATTGCTCCAACGTCAATCCAGATCGACGATCGATATTCTCAACAGCCGTATAAGGTTCCATCCCGATGGCGGCACAATAAAACGGCTGGAACAGCACGTCCGAATAAAACGTCTTTAACTTCATCGCCTCCCTGTTCTGAAGGATGCGCGATGTGTCATACTGTAGGTCCGATCGCTTCAGAAACGTAGCTCTCCAGCTATCATCCTGCCATTCCCAATCGCCTCCGAATCGATCGATTGTCAATGTCTTCCACATATCGTCTAGATGTGTCAGACCATAGAGGACTCGTGAGGTGGCGCCCAGGGTCAAGAGATCCTGGGGAGACATGAGGTTCAAAACTTCCATAATGATCTCATCTGTAAATCGAGAGAGTCGGCCGAGAGAAGGGCCTCGACAAGATCCGGAGAAATCTGACCGGGTGGCATCCATGTAGTAGTTGCCGAGGGGTTTGATACCGAGCGGATGTTGCAGGGACATGAAATGCTTGGTCGTCATTTTGGGCTTTTCATGGCGGATAATGAAACGCTGTTTCTTCGCCAGCGGCTGCCTCAACGTCGACGGTGCTTCGTGTGTCGGCATTCCAGGCAGCTGATTCCTTGTGGGTGTGAAGGAGATGTGTATACATTTGCAAAAGAAAAAAAAATGTTTATTTGGGTCTACCAGTCACTAGCGCCACCAACTTCGTGCAGCACAGCACAGCACCCCCATTCCAGCATCGCTCAGGCACAAGGGTGCTTTGGTAGTCTCCTGCATCCATATCATAGACATAGTAACTGAGGTCCAGGAAAGCAGCCACACTCTATTGCATTAAATGCCTGATCTTCCTTATATACATGCTATTTTATTGTGTAAGAGTCGCTGAAGTGCTTTCTATATGCCCATATGCGAAGACACTGGACTGGTCCTTACAATGTCCAAATATATAGCAGACAGTCGAATCCCAAACACGCTCTCTCCGTGAGGTCTTTCTTAAGCGGAAACGGTAGCAATGCACTCAATCTCAACAAGGACGTCCTTGGGGAGACGAGCAACCTCAACGCAGGAGCGAGCAGGAAGAGCGCCACCCATGTTCTAGAATGACAAAAAAAATAAAAAAAAGGGCGAATAAATTGAGTGCAAGGTTCATGTAGGATTCATTTCCACAATCGCGACGTCTCTCAATGCGATACATGTTTCAAGTATGTACCTTGGCGTAGATCTTGTTAACGGCATCAAAGTCCTTCAAGTCCTTCAAGAACACGGTCGTCTTAACGATCTGGGCGAACGACGACTGAGAGGCCTGAAGAACTGCATCCATGTTGGCAAGGACTTGCTCCTGTATTATTTTTAATGTTCGATTCCGATAATGTATTAGAACGGAATACAGGACAGGATCAGTGTCACATAATCGACTGAATAATATGAGTCATGGAGCAGCCGATCTGTCCGGGCCACTCTCCAGAGCTTGTTACTTACAGTCTGGGCCTCGACACCCTCAGGAATAACACTCGTCTGGGGGTTAATTCCGATTGAGCCCGAGCAGAAGACGAAGCCGTTGGCAACAATGGCCTGAGCTATGTATATTAATGTGAGAAACCCAAGGTGGAAGAGTAACAAAAGGGTCAAATGAGCGTGGGAATCGGCGTGGAAGTAACTGTGTAACGGTCGAATTGTGGCGAATAGAGCAGCTGCTTACAGTAGGGGCCGAGAGCAGCAGGAGCACTCTCGCTTTGGACGATCTTGTGGACGGTGGTCATGATTGCTGATGAGTGAGGTTTTTAACAAATGGAAGTGGAGTGGAGAGAAGAGTGAAGAATGATGGCTCGCGTCTTTTATGGTACCAATCAACGCGCGTCACATTCTCTGCATTATCTTTAGACAGATGGGAGGGACATGTCCAAAAATTTCCACAAACCATGTCCTCGCCACGGCTTGATTCTGCAGCCATTGGTCAAGCCAAGTAGACGGTTGACTTGGCGAAGCGCTGGAAATGCTTCTGCGCAGGAGATCCATCGTCTCGCTACGTTGTTCCCTTGCCTTGTCGCGTGCACGCGTACTGTGCTCCACGCGCCTCCTTATCGCACTCTTGGATCCAGGACGGCGTCTTCTACGATAGATCCCCGTCATTCACAAAGGTATCCTCGATCCATGGAAAGATAAGGCGCTGGAGCTGTAACGGCGGCGTCACTAGATCGTGCTCAATAAAGTACGGATCGTCTTTCTTGATATGAGCCATGCAGAACGCTTCGATCATAGGCAACTTGGGAGCATAATAAGACTCCATAGGGTCCATACTCCAGTGGGCGAGGCGTCGGATGCGGTCAAGGCCCAAGCCGAGGTGGTATGCCTCTGACGTCCCAGCATGGCATCCGGCATGGGTGACTTTGAGAGAGTACACTTGGCAGGCGCGCATGACCTACACAGCGATATCGTTCTGGGCTTGGTTTGAAATGGCCTTTGTTCGGTTATTGAGAATCTCCTGGAGAATTCCGCCCGACCTGAGGACTCGGATAGAGTGCCAATCATCCGCGTCAGAGAAGTTAGGAACGGGCTCGTTCTCTACCTGGAGGAAAATTAATAACATGGAATGGTCAGAATGAAATGGTAACATGGCGCAAAGCTTGAAATAAAGCATGGCATTTACTGGACTGATACAATCGGATGCTTACTTGAAAACGCTCAAAGCATGTAGTATCCAAATGCAGCAATTGTACAGCGAACGAAGTTCCGGTGGTGGTATGCTACTGTATACATGTTGACGCCGCGCTGGTTGGGCTTTCCTCTTGGTAGAGATAAGACAATCCCTAAAGCCAGGGCCGATCCAGGGGCGTTATGTCGCGTTTGAACGCTAGAGACGTCGGACGGCATCAGATTGCGCATGTCCTCGTCACGTAGCAGCATATGGCACCGTGCTAGTATGTTCAAATGCTCGCGAATGTGCGGAAACCGTGCTTGACTGTATACGCGCTTGCCCGCCCCCTGGGTACCAGGAGCTTCCACCATGTGAATGAAACCATCTAGATAAGCTGTTTCGCCGTACACGGGTCGCGTACGGAGCAGGCGCTTGTACGCGTCTCACCGTTTGTTGTTTTCGTATAGCCCAAGTTTTGCCAGATTGCTTGATGGTGTTCCGCAATACAAGGTTCCCCCGAAGGTTGGGAGCCAGGTTAGGATATACCAAATAATCTGCACTCTGGTATTTCCACAAGAAAATGAGGGCCTTCATGTAATTCTCTACTGTTGAAAGGCTAGATCGTATTGCGACCATCCTTGCCCAGCTGTGCGTTCTGGATGACTATGAAAACACGCAGAAGGGAGCAAAAGCCGTGCCATCTGAACTCAATGGAGTCCTCAGTGACGTTGTAGAGCCGGGGAGATAGCATTCGTATTGGGGGAGCGTTCTTTTTTCAGGTACAATCTAACTATCGTTAGTGGGTCTATACACGGATGTAGTACAGTCAGATTTCAAGTCGATTCAGTCGGCAAAAAGGGGTTCTCATTATTATGGGAGATCTAAACTTGCTATGCCCGTCCACATCGCTCGCTCTCGCCACCCGTCAACTTCCATGCCGGTCCAAACAAAAAGGTTTCCTCCAGTCGATCCAATGTCTTGTCGACCTGGCCCAGCTCCCTCAAAAGATGGGTCTCTTTATCATGGTCGTGTTCGCGCGCGACGTGCGCACGAGCAGAATCCAGACCAACAGCGCCATGTCCCTTCGCGTAAGCAATGGCTTCGCTGTCAAGGAAAGGCCCAATGCTCAGTCTCCTCAATTGCGGGTTGGGGAATGTGTCGTCGCGTCCTCCAAGCGAGGTGTATCCAAGATCGTACAGGCCACAGTACGGCACGTTGATCGCTCTCAAAAACGTCCAAATGTCGTGATATGTCCAATCAAGGATTGGATGGATCCGCATAAATGGAGGCCACGAAGGGTCAGTTGGAGTGAATGGTTTCAATGGGCCTAAAACAGGAGCAGATCAGAGACAAACATGTCAGTTCACTAATGGATTCCATTATGATAAAAAGATCGAGTAGCAAGGAAAGGAACTTCAGTCCGCTAACCTCCGTGAGGATCATCGCGCCGCGTTCCGACCATGACGGCCTTGATCTCGTCCTTCAAAGAATGGTACTCCTGCAAGGCCTTCTTCATTGATCCAGGTATCCTGAGCAAGTCCAAGTTGTATCGCTCAATCTCATCATCGACGAATCGCTCCACTTGGCCAAAGGGGTTCTTATGAGTGACATAGATTGAAGGAATGGGGTCATGCCGATGAAACCGAGTCCTGGTTGGCTGTTCCTGAAGAGTATCAAACGTGGTAGTTGATGATGAATCCTTGTCCAGCTCGGATCCTAGGACCTTGTATAAGACTGCCACGTAGAGATGCAAGATGACCGTGCAGTCTTTGCCGCCATTAAATGATAGCGAGATACCTTGAGGTCTAAATCGATTGGTTGTGAAGGATAGAATGCAAGTCAGTACAAAAACTCATATGCAATCAACAACGTGAAGCTGCGTATAAAAGAGAGGAGGCGATTTCCTTACCCATAACGTCCTATGGCTTCTTCGATCACCTGAACTGCATGGCGGACACTCCTCCAGCAGTGGATGTCTCGTCCGCGCATCAATTTAGAGTCCGCAGTCAAGGGCGCCGATGCAGCGCTCAATTGCCCCTTGTCCGAATTGCTGTGCAAGTTGGGGTTATCATGCTCATCTGCCAGTGCTACAAGATGGTACACGTCTCGCATCACCTGGAAGCCGTCGATCAGCGATACAAACGAGGGTCGGCTCGCGTAGAGTGCGTCCAGAATAGATACAATCAAGTCCCTCTGGGCGCTCGTCTCCGTGGGCTCGGCTGTTGCTGCACTAGCCGGTGGGGTATAAATGGAGGTGACGGGCTCAATCAACGTGTGGACATTATGAACCGAGATCACAGGTTGAAGCAACGATTTGCTGGGAACTCGAATGTAATGTGTCTCTCCTTTGCATGGTGTACGTCCTAAGTAGGGTTGTCTGTCCTTGTTATGTTCCTCTGTTGACGACGCATTTGACATCTTGAGAGTATTATGGGCGACAGGGCTTCCGTTGATGCTCAGTGGCTGTTGAGAGGAGTCTTCGCTGCAGGGACAATGCACAGCACTGCTTTGGCTAGGAGTCCACAGATCCTGACCGAATGCATCGGCGATAGCCCCCAGGACCAGTTCTTGGTCTGTGACGGAGACGCCCTGTTGATCTGCAACAGCGTCGAGCAACATGACAAAGACGAGAGAATAATCTCGAGAGAACTCGGCCGTTGCGCGGGTAATGTCGATTGCAGAGGAGACAACCCTCGAGGATGCGATAGAAAACTGAGTAGGATAGAGAGATTGCAAGTTCGAGTGGTTGAGGGATGATGAAGTGGAGACAACTATATGGCGCGTTCGAAAACCACAAGAAGAAAGAGGGAAAGACTGCAATGTTAACAAAATCGACCTTGGGAAGTATTTTCGAGGGAGGAGTTGAAGTTGAACCAACAATGAAACGACCCTTACAGATGAGTCCAACAGTCTCTGGTTCCTCTATCCGCTTTTGACCAAAGGGAGATTCGTCCTGGGCTGGCATGACTCTTGTCATCACTGAAGAAGAGATTGCGAGTGAGAGGAATGAGAGTGGAGTGGAGAGAAGTGGATACATCTTTCTTTCTTTTCTCTCTTTCGTTCCCAGGAAGCCGAAGCGCAGTTGCCATATGAAAATCATCAATTGATCACATGACACCCAATCTATACCACTGTCGTGGCACCCTCCTGGATGAACTTGATTCAATCAGCTCCTTCATCCATCGCGCAACTCTCATATCCGCATCCACGACATATTCCTGCCACCACCAACCAAATTGACGACAAGGGCAAGTAGGAAGCCAGAATCATAAAACACCATACGGAGGAACGTTTTTTTTTTTTTTTGCAGCAAATCAAGGACTCGACCTAGACAACACGCTTAACTTTCGAAGCAGGACAGCAACAAACAACAACGACTTCATCTCATCTCTTCATCAACAAAGACACGAGTGAAACACAAGAAAGGCCATAAATCATGTCGGTGTTATTTGACCAGAATAATGGATACTACGACCAGCAGGGCCAGAGCTCGGACAACCTGCAGTTCTACCAAAGCCAGTACCCAGACCCCTCTGCCGGCGCCTATGGTGGATCGCACACGCAGCAGCGGTCTACCGGCTTTCCCGGTAACGCCGTGTCTCCTACACCTGAGCTCAGCTATGGAGGATACAACTCAAGCATTCCTGGCAATCAAATGAACCCACAGCCCACGAACTGGCTGGCAGCCTTTGGCGCAGGTGGCCTGGAAGGCGAGCCACCACTGTTGGAAGGTAAGGGAAGAGTCTCATTTACACTGCTGGCTATTTAACCAAGCGGTCAAACTCTCAGTCAACTGCTAACGCAGTGCACTATGTTTGTAGAACTCGGTATCAACTTTAGCCATATCAAGACAAAGTCTTTCACGGTACTGAATCCTCTTCGACCTGTCGATCGCAATATCATGGACGACACAGATCTGGCTGGTCCACTATTGTTCTGTCTCGCATTCGGGACGTTTTTGTTATTGGTAAGCCCAGGACGAGCAAAAGGGTTTGCAATGGTTATATAATCGATTCCATTGCTGACCCCTTTTTTCCTATCGGTCTTTGTCTGGATGGTTCTTATAGTCTGGAAAGCAGCACTTTGGATATGTCTACGGCGTCGCGGTGGTGGGCTGCTCGGCTCTGTACGTCATCTTGAACCTCATGTCACCTCAAGGACTCGATATCCCAAAAACAGCCAGTGTCCTCGGATACTGCATGTTGCCGCTGGTGATGTTGAGCAGCCTGAGTACCCTCTTTGTTCTTAAGTAAGTCACCCAAAGTATTTGATTTCAGAAGCTGCTCGAGTTGAATGACGTGGAAGCTAATTTTGATTTCTCGTTTACTCATCAAAACAATCTAAATAGCGGTGGATTGGGATATATCTTGTCGGTACTGGCGATTGTTTGGTGCACGTACTCATCCTCCGGATTCTTTACCGCTGTGCTGGGTATGAACGATCAGCGCTTCCTGGTGGCCTATCCTGTCGGACTCTTTTACGGATGCTTTGCCCTGATGACGGTCTTCTAGACACCCTGACTATAACAATAAAGCTTCATAATGTATGGAATAAATGACCAACTTTGATTTTGGTGGCAAGACAGCGAACGTGTGTTTTGCGACACCAACTTGTTTCATTTCAAGCACCGTTGCCTGTTCCGCAGGCTACATACGCAAGGAATCTTGGTCATATAACTGCCGTTTGAAAAGAAACGTGCGCCTTTTTACGAAGAAGAAAGACAAGAAGCGCAGCGCGTCAACATACAGGAGTCGAGGATTGTTAATTCGTAACATATCCCGAGTGCCTTTCCTTCCTTTGCTGCTGACGAGCAATTCCCTCCATTGGTACCCCAGTTAGACTATGCAAATTGATTCGAGGCAAGGACAAGATGTGCCCTTGATGCCCGGGATGGACTCAACCCTACTGCCCTCTGCGCCCCAGCTACACAGTGAGGGCACCATGCATCCCTTGGACACCTGCCTTCATCCTCTTCACTTTATCTGCAGTACCACCTTTCCATAGATCTGACCGACCCCCTCGTCTCTGCCTCCTCCTCCGTCCCTCCCCCTTGCCCTTTCCCAGCCATGTCCTCTCTTGCTAGCCCAAAGAGAGTATCTCTTCCCCGACGTCCTTGGTCTCCTTGATCGACTCCCTCGTCCTGACACTGCCAACCAAGAAAATAAGGTATCGCCTTGCCACAGAGGCATAAAGATGCGACCAGGTTCTTCTCTACTGCCTATCCGCGATGACTCTGTAGCTCCTAACTTGGGTCTCGCTCGTAATATTTCGTAGCCAATGGATGCGCCGCCCAGGCTTATCCCTCTTTACTCTCCTTCGTCTCTTCTGAGGTGTCTCCGTGGCAGCCTGTCCTAAGGCGCGTCTTATTCCTCATGCGCTTCTCCGGTCTGGATTTTGAGGATACTCCCCTTCTTTTGCTCCCCTTGACAAACATGCCCAGGCACTACGGTGTCCCTCTCATCCATACCTTACCTTTCTATCATGCTTAGTGCAGGACCTTAATTCCTGGAAAAAGTACATAAAGGAACGCGCAAAAATGGGCGCCTTTTTCTTCTGGTCTCCCTCCATTCCAGTCCAGCTTCTCTGTCATCACTTTTACCCTACATCGAACTCCTCCTATCCTCCCATATACATCGGCATGCGTTACATTAGGTTTTCGTTGGCAGCAGCAGTAGCGTCTGGCCTTCTCTTTCTCGGTCTTGCTTCTACAGCAGTCGACGCAGCATCCTCGTGCAATCCTTCAACATGCGTGCATCCAGGTTGCGTGTGCCCGTCTATGATGCCTCCCAAAGGCATGGACCCTAAGACAGTTCCGCAGTTCTTCACCCTCACATTTGACGACGCCGTTCAAGGTCCAACTGTTCCTGTCGCTTCGTCACTCATGAAGCCCCATACCAATCCCAACGGCTGTCCCATCAAGGCAACATGGTTTGCACAAACGGTCTATTCTGATTATTCGCTTATCCAACAGTGGTACGCTGCTGGCAATGAGGTTGCAGATCACACCATGAACCATCTGGGAACTCCGCCAGCAGGTAAAGCACATCTCATTGTTATCTTCAACATTATACTCTGCATCATATACTAATCTTCACGCTATTTCCTATTTTTTTAGAGGAGATTGTTGGTAACCGTAAGGCTATCAATGCATTCTCTGGAATCCCCTTTGCCAAGCTGAACGGTTTTCGCGCCCCATTCTTAAACTACTCCGATGCCACATTCCAAATCCTGGGGCAAGAGAAATTTCTCTACGACTCTTCAACCGCTGCCGTTCCCTCAGACGCATATTGGCCCTACACACTCGATAGCGGTCTTCACAACGACTGCTGGAATGGAATCTGCGATAAGACCATTTCGATTCCGGGCATGTGGGAGATCCCTATGCACGCAATTATGGACAGCGACCTGCCCACAGCTATTCCCCATGTCATGGATGTTCAGCTGGAAGCCTCAGCCGATGTTATTACTGGCTTGTTGCACAAGAACTTTGACCGCCACTACCAAGGCAACCGCGCACCATTCGGTATTTACTTGCACCCAGTTCACGTCGGTAACGCGACGCAGCTCTACAATGACTTTTTCACATATGCGCGCTCGCTCCCCGATGTGTGGTTCGTGACAAACCAACAGTTGCTCCAGTGGATGCAGAACCCTGTCCCGGCTTCACTGCTCGCAAACCAGCCCTACATGAAATGTGAGCAGCCCGCAGTCGGCAAGGAGATCTGCAACGGATTGGACGACACAAAGTCAGGCTCGATTGACAAGGGTGTATTGGAGACCTGCAACTTCGTTGCTGGTCCTTGGTCAACGTGCTACGGATGCCCCAAGTCAATACCCTCCGTTGCTGATCCGGTCCCTGAGCGTGTTGCCGCTGCTGGCCAGAGTGGTTACCGCACACCTGTACCATCGACCTGCGCCATGGAGTGGTGGGATCCTATTGCGGCTCAATGTCTCTGCCAGAGTTCGAACTGCACGTTTACAGACATCGCGGTGTCCACTAACAAGGGCGGGGTAGATCTCTCTGGGGGCTCTGGCAGCACCAGTACTGCACACAATGCTGCTGGCCGACAGATCTCGAATGTTCGAACTGGGCTTGGACTGGTCGCTGTAGTAGCTGTTAGTCTATCCCAGCTGCTTTAAAAAAAGATGTATATATTCACCATATACCATATAATGTTCGCTTTCATATCTCAGTATTTAAACCTGTCTATCATCCCATATATGGGACGAATTTTAATAAGAAAATGCACTTTTTTGCATTTGGATTGCAATTGTGTAAAATACTATTATGATTGCCACCCCTCCTTTCTAGGTATATATTGACACCTGGCCCCCGGTGCATCTAGATATGTAACTTGTTTGGCATTTGCTTGGAATTGGTATTAAGGAAGAAGCCGAAATGGGATCACCCTCATTGAGAATGCCACATATTTTTTAAAATAAAAATTTCAATTCATCAGGAGGTGATCCGTCTAAAAGGCATGCCATCCCGTATTTTCAAGCAATACCATTTCTCCACTCAATTGTGAGGGTCACACATGCATGCCGAGGGCGCAACGGAAGCCACGGGCACATTGCAAGAAGAGTATCATCATCAACAGACCTATTGCGACTATCTACTCAATGGAGCACCCGTTTATTACCCCTGGTGCTATGCCTGCTGGCGTTGGTACTGACACTGATCAAGACACCAGCCCTGTGGGGTCCCCAACTGACTTCCTGTCCGTGCCAAGTGACGACCCCTTTTCAATATCTCAGTGATGTCGCGTCTCCTTCAAGTGATATTGAGTCCCCTCCAAGCGAAGCTGTTGCCGCAAACAGCTCGCCAAACAGCTTGCCACTTCGAGTTATAGCTGCATCTCCCGACAGGGACCTGCACCTTCGCCTCAATGGAACTCCTACTCGCTCGCCACGACGTCGCGAAGAGTGACCTCTACTAGGGACAGTGAGCAGTCTCATACCTCCATATCTCATACGTCCCAATACGGAAATCATTCAATCAATTTGAAAAAATATATGGCGCGTTACTTATTGTCGAGGACTCTAATTAACAATCCAGTTGTCTAGAATAAATGATTACCTTCATTCTTGTTGCTATCCTCCAGGGAGACTACAGTCTAGAAGCCTATGGCGCCATGATTTTCTCGTAGGCTCCCTCCTGACACGAAATACATTATCTTGCAGCAACTGCAGTTTTTCGCTGCCCCAGTCTAGGTGGTTTATGAGAACAGTGATCAATCACTGTATACGAATGAAATAATCGATAATCAGTGTGAACACTGCAATTTCCATAACATAGTGCATGAACATACAAACATTTTGGACGTAGATTTTGGAGTCTTAAAAGAAACATCATTCCTCACATCCTTGACCCCACACCTTTCCTCATCCACTCCCTTATCAGCCCTCAAGCACTGTCGCATATTCTCAACGTGAGTCTTGAATGCTTCTGCGAATGGATACGTGCACCAAACTTGATCCTCATTAGCTGTCTACTTTGACTTGGCCTTTATTGTACCAGATGGGAGTCACTGGGCTACCCAAAGCTATAAAAGACACCAAAGGAACGCTAGCTTATGATCTGCAGAGCAAGAAAGTTCATGTCGATGCCTTAAGTCTGTACTTCGGATTCTTGCAAACAAGGACCTTCAAAGCGACGTGTAACAGAGTCGCCAAGGAAACGAGAGCTGAGGCAACGGCTACGACAACAACCAGCGCATCAGCAGCTTCTATCCTAACAGCAACGGCGACTTTTCTCGCAGTTCCCACAGCTCCCGCAGTCTCCACAGCCTCAGCAGCGCAAGATGCGCCTTCTGTTGCAGACGCCAGCACTAGCAGGAGAAGCGGCATCAATAAGCGCGTCCTGAGTTTCTCCGAGGCTCCATCCAAGCGAGGAAAGGCTTGCTCTAGTTATGCGAGCGAGGTACAGGCTGTCGGAGTGCAACATCCTGCACTGTTCATTGGTCCTAATGGACGATTGACACCAGACCGACCTGGAACAGCAGAGCAGGTAATTAAATGTGCCAATGGTTTCGTATCAGCTTACGCAGCATAGCAACCAAGTGCTGACACATGTTCTGTTGCTTCGTCCCTCGCCCCCGCCCCATCTCTAGTCACAGAACTACGGCTACATAGCGCATGATCTCAACAAAATCATGTCAAAGCACTTTAGCAAATCGACAACAGTTTTACACTTTGACGGAAAGGCCTTGATACAAAAGTCTCAAGAGCGACAAGATCGGGCCATATCCCTCAGCAACCGGATCAAGGCTCTGGAGGCGCGAGCTGACAACGCCATAGGAAAAAACAGCGGCTCTTTGGCCCCCCTGTACAAGTAATGTCGAAACGCGTACAAGGCATCCAAGGCAATGCTGGCAGACATAAGAAATGGGCTGGAGACCTTGGAGTGGCACACCTGCGAATGTCCCTTCCAAGCAGACACGCACATTGCCGAGTTGTATCAAGCTGATAACAACAAAGACGACCTCGCAATCATTACCGCCGACAGTGATATGATGGTATATCAAGGTGTTAGAGAGATCACTATACCCGTCGGAAAGTACCGAGAGCTTACCACGTACAAGAAGGCTGACCTGCTCGAGTCTCTGGACCTCGCATGCGACCGTGAGCTGTTGCTGGCATCAATCGTTACTAAGAACGACTACTCCAAGGCACTCCCGTGGCACGGCTTCCAAAGAAACACCAAGCTCATCCGAGAGATGAGGACCGAGACCGGAGCAGGCGATGGATCAACAATGGACGCGCCAGGATCCAAGACGACTGAGGCTGAGATTATCAAGGAGCTGATCCAAGAGTATTTGCAACGGGCGAGAGGAGGACAAAAAAAGGGTGTGGACGACTACACCCATGCCATTTCGGCTTCCGTTCAAGTGCGTGAGGACTACCTTGACTCCGCTACGCCATCGTGCACGACCCACGAGAGAATACTGGACATACTCCAGAAGCTCGAGAAATGCAAGCTACAAAGGAGAAATCTGACTCGAGCCTTGCGGACAAATCCTCCAGCCGATACACTCACCAGCGACACTTCTGCAGGCTTGGCGTTTGCTTCCCCTGTCCAGCACAGCCTGCAGACGCCTGGACAGCAGATGATTCTTCAGAACCGACGCCGTCGCCGCAGACACGAGAAAGAGAACGCCCAGCAACGGAGAAAGCGACGCCCCAAAGGCGAAACAAGACTAAAAAAGCCCGGGAGGTAAAATGGAGACGAAGCAGGTATGATTGTCGTATGACTTTGTTAGCGAGTTCAAATTCATTATAACCTTTTACAGCTTTGTCGCTTTGATACAATCATATTATTGATTTTATTTTATTTTATTTTATTTTATTTTATTTTATTTTATTTTATTTTATTTTATTTTATTTTATTTTATTTTATTTTATTTTATTTTATTTTTGGGATTATCTCTTAGGTACGAGAGCAGGAACGGAGATGCCAACCCTCATTATTCCCCTCATGTTGTCGTGGACGTCAGCCAGTCATGCCCGGTTGACAAGGTCGCATTGAAAAAGATGTCCATCGAGGAACCGCGCCCGCGGAAGAAGAAAGGACGGAAGCATGGATGATAATCCTAAGGCCACGAGTGAAATCAAGACGAAACCCAAGAAGGACGAGAAAAATGATGAAAAAGCGGAGAGGCGAGCCGGAGCTAACCTGACTAAGCACCTGTTCGGGGAGGCTTTCAAGACTACCACAATAACTGCAGGGTCGATCACAGGATGCCTGCACCGCGCCAGGAAACTGAGCGTGGCTCAGACCAAGATCGTCGCGGAACGCATCAATGAGGCAGTCCGCATCATGAGCCAAACTCGTATTCTCGTGTTTAAAGCGCTTGAACTTTTTCTCTACAAGGAGGTCAGAGTCGCCACCATATCCAATTCAGATCAAGCGCGCTCAACACCAGACCAGAACTTGGGCATTGATGAAGCAAATGGATCAGGAATCCAGGAGGAGGTCCGCACTGCCACTGCATGCAGCCCAGAACAAGCGCGCCCGGCACCAGAACATAATATGGACATTGATGTCAATCAAGCGAGTGCTCCGAAAGTCCAGCACAAGGAGGAAAAGAACGCGGACCCACTTGATCTCATTCTGCACAAGGTACATGGAAAAACTATCATCAGAAATCTGATCTCTTTGATTCTGAATGGTCCAGTAGCGCCCCGCGGGAGACCACCTAAAGACTCGGCGGCAATTCAGGCGAAAACAATTACGCGCTCGATTTATGACGATTTCCTGAGCGTTCTTTCAGATTGCACACCGACAAAGGACTGCCAAGATATACCACTGAGCGTCATCCAGGCGGAACTGGCGGTGGAGGTCCGGACCGCGGTTCGGGAGCATTTCCAGAGACTGCCCAAGTTCATTGTGAACAAGGTAACATTTCCACTGTCCGGAACAAGATATATCTCGCATCGATTTGCTTTTCCACTGTGAACTTACGTTTATTTTTTGTTTCTATTAGCTGAAGCGTGTTCGTTTATTCACGGATGATATACCTCCAGTTGAGGATGACGAGAGCTCCAACGGCGATAAACAGAAAGACAAGGTGTCATTTAAGAAGGGGCACATCCAAACTTGATGGAGGTACTTTCTCCGTGTGCCGTCGGAGTTGCGTCCTATTTTCTGTCCAGTGTCGAAGTTGGGAGACTCTTTCATCTTGTGCTCTGAGGCTGCCATTCTTTCACTTCTTTGGGGCAATCCAAATTCAAAGACGCACCCTAAGCGGCATATCATGGAATCTCAAGTTTGCTCTTCCAAGACGGCCCACGAACTTGCATCAGAGAAATATGGGGAGCTTTTCCGACTACTATTTATCGGAGACAAGGTCGAGATCAAGGCGGATCCCCTCAAGAACCAGACTTCATATGGCAAGAAAACAACGACCATGAACCGATTGCTGAAGGACCATCCAAACACATACGGCCAAGCTGCACTCGATGGGTACATGAAGAGGGTCTTTGCAAATCACAAGGCTAGGAAGCAAGCAGCTGCCGAAGGCACGGAGCCCCCCGTGCCCCCCCCCCCCCCCGACCTCCCAAGTAATGACAGCGTCAAGGAGCACTATGCCATCAGCAATATGATGAGAACAGACGGAGTCCAGCTCCACCTAATGGCATTTGACATACGACGACGTTGGCAGTCATCCAAATTTAAGGCGCGGATCCCGGAGATTACATCGCGATTTCCTAACAAAAGGTCTCTCGCAAAGGCTTTCGATCAAGACCTCCAGAATGTTGTGGTTGTGGGGGCGGACCCCGGTGAAGTAATTTCAGCATCATTTTGTGCGCTGGACCCCCGAAAACCGAACCAAGTCACGAACTTACCTATCAGACGCTCCGCTCTCTACAGTCCCAGCTTGTCATTCAGAGTCGCGCTGGAGGCCAAAAAACGCGAACGGACCACTGTCACAATCAAAGACGATACAGGATTAAGCGGGCACACATGCGAGACGCCTAGCATATCCGAATTAGAAGCCTCGCTGCCGTCGTCGTCGTTCGTAAGCATGGAAGAACACCGGCATGGCCTCCGACAGTTCAGCTATGTCCTACAACCACTTCGCGATTTTTACGGATCCCGTTCGATGAAAAAAAGGCTGTGGGAGCTCAAAAAGGCGAACCGGGCTGAGAAGGATCATGCCGTGCATGGGGCATTGCGAACTGTGGACCCACAAGGCGGGATGCATACTGGGCCAACGAGACCGGCGATGTTTGTATACGGGTCAGGAAAGTTCAACACTCATAACAGGCTGGCATCGCTACACGAGAGCTTCAAGGGGTATTTTTTCCACAAGGTATGTTGTTTTAAAGATATTCGTTGCGATTTGCTTGTTTTCAGTCTAGTATCGATACTGATGCCATGTTTCCGCATGCCATTGCACTACATAGGTAAACAGCCTCGGGTACACCGTCGTTTGTTCGGATGAGTATCTCACGTCATCGAAATGCCCAAGCTGTGTACGACAAAACAAGGACCGAAGAATGGCAAAGCCAGCGAATCGGGCGTTCGTCTGTCTTGAGGATGGGTGCCAGAGATGGCTAGACGGGGACTGCGTGGGCGCTCAGAATTTGGCTAATATTGGCCTCGAATGGATCAATAGCCTGTCTCGCCCAGAGCCCCTTCGCCGACCCCAGCAAGAATAACTGTACCGGCCGTATCAGTTAAAATTTATCCTAGGTGGCTGTCTCTCTCTCCAGTTGAGACGGTCTAAGGGATAAATGGTTTTTCGCGTTTCGTGTTTCGTGTCTCGCGATTTTTTTAAAGCCACATTTCACACCTTAAGCGGCGCCCATCTGCGTAAAGACCGGCACCCCTGGATCCCTCAGCTGATTCGATCGTTGTTACCTGCATTAGTTCACCAACAATCCCATTAGCAATGTCAACTCTGCCGCGACTAACCGCAAGGTTGGCCCAGGCTAGCGCCAGGCACGATCTACAGGGCCTCGCAACCACTCTTCACACCTCCAAGACTCATTATTCCTTCAGGACGTTTCACCACCAGTCAAAACACCACCACACGACCTGTTTGTATGGACCCGGATGCCGTCGTGCCCGCCCTATCTCTATAACCCATGACACTAAAAAAAGCGTCGTTGCTGCGCGATCCAAGGAGTTCCACACATCGAGCCCGCGCCGGGACCTGATTGATGATCCACGATACAGTCCCGAGAAGGTAGCAGCCCGCGCCAAATACCCAATTCTTACAGCCAAGGACTCCGCCAAGAGCAGGGACATGCCCCTGGGAGCCAAGATGCTTGTGCGGGATTTTATCGACGACTCGCTCTACCATCCACGCTACGGCTACTTTTCGAAGCAGGCAGTAATCTTTTCACCCGAGACGGATTTCGAGTTTGAGAAGATCAAGGACAACATGGAGTTCTTGGATATAATCGCGGAAAAGTACAAGGAGATTGAGGACGATATGGACGTGAGAGATGAGGTCGCGAGACAGGTCTGGCATACACCCACGGAATTGTTCAAGGTAATACGAAGCGGAAGAAGATGACTGAGAATGAAATTTTGTGTGAACTGCGGAGCAACGGATTCTGACACATGAATTGTGTTCTATTGTTTGCTAGCCTTGGTATGGATACGCGATCGCAAAGTACATCGTGACGGAATACAAACTCAACAACTACCCACATGAGGACTTGATCATCTACGAGATGGGTGCCGGAAATGGAACACTTATGCTGAACATCCTAGACTACATTCAACAATTCGAGCCCTCGGTCTATGAGCGCACCCGTTACCGGATCATCGAGATATCCAAAAAGCTGGCGCAACGACAGGGTGAGCGCCAGGAGGTTCGAGAAGTCACTCAACGCCATAAATGCGTCGAGGTCATCAATAAGAGTATCTTTGAATGGGATACTGTCGTCCCAGATCATTGTTTCTTTGTCGGCATGGAGGTCCTAGACAACTTTTCGCACGACTTGATCCGATACGATTCAGTAACAGAGGAGCCGTTCCAAGGCATGGTGGCAATTGATGAAGAGGGCGACTACACAGAAATCTACACGCCGGTCGCGGATCCATTGATCCAGCGATACCTCTCAATCCGGAAACAGACAGGATACAGACCCCCTGTGCTGGCAAGAAGGTTCCTGAGGCGACTTCGTAATCGATTGCCGTTTGCGCCCAATATGACAGGACCGGAATTCATCCCAACAAAGCTGTTGCTACTGCTCGAGACCCTCAAGACAAACTTTCCAAAGCATCGGCTAGTGCTGAGCGATTTCTTTACGTTGCCAGAGGCGATCCCTGGTACAGATGCACCGGTGGTCCAGACGAGATATGCGGGAACGATGGTCCCTTGCTCGACATATATGGTAATGCCCGGGATGTTCGATATTTTCTTCCCGACCAACTTTGAGCTGCTAAGGGATATGTACCAGGAGGTCTGTCGTCCATCATTGGGAATGGAGAAGTCAGTCAAGGTGCAGACGCAGAGAGAGTTTCTGGAGCGATATGGCGACCTTGAGAAGACTCGGACGTATAGCGGCGAAAACCCAATGTTGATGTATTATGAAAACAACAAAATGCTCCTGAGTTAGGTGGTGGTGGTAGCAGGAATCCCATGGAGCTGCCTTTTTTTTTTTTTTTTACACGCTTAGATAATAAAGTATCGTTTGCCAAACGATTTAAGATGCGCTGCTCAAAGAAAGCGCCTTTAGTTTACATGATTCTGTCTTCACCAGGACAATCTAGCACTAGCCTTCTTTTTAGATGGTTTGGGTGTCTCTACCGCACCGACTATCTCTTTGCGCTCCTCCTTATCCTTGTCCTCGAACTTTAGCTCCGCTTGCTCTATCGTCATTGATTCCTCCTCCAAAGATCTTGGTAATACACTTCGGGGGCTCTCCTCAAAGCGCTTCAATTTGCCAGCCATCAGCGTGGACATTGCAATACCCGCGACAACATTTCCGCCCATCGAATGAACCGTAGACGGAATACGGCTCAGCGGCGGGATCTGGATAAAACTGTCGCATTTCGCTGCGATTTGACGAGAGAGCTCACGACCAGTGTTCCCGATGATCAAGAGTGTAGGCTGGTCAACTCCTTCAGGGGACCAATTGTAAAAGGGGCGCGTCCGTGGAGATCCGTAAGTAGTATGCGCCCCCACAATATGCCAACCGTTTGCTTTGCTCGACTACAATTTTATGACAGGATATGATACAAGAGTTAATGGGTTAGATAACGGGGTCGAGGAGAAGGCGCTATCGTTTGGTTCGCAACCCCACTGTGCAGTATTTCTGATTATATACATGCCTGCGCAAACTTGACAAGACTTTGGATTGGATATATACGCCTTTTCTCCAGGGCCCCCGCACTCGCCTTTGCGACTTCAGCATCTGGTGGGGCAGCACGGGCGGTCTTATATAATACGCCATCCACGCCCAGATGCAGCGCCGTCCTCACTACTTCGCCCATCATCTCTGGATCAAGTACGTGCTCCATAGCGACCCAAACTGGCGAATATGGTTTTGACGATATTGACTCTGATGTTGACTTGACTGAGCTGGTCTCAACTGTTATTGGCGATGATTCTTGTGTCTCATTCGTGGTCGTAAGGGTGGTCATGGAAGTCGTAGGCGGGTTCATACTGAAATCAACGATAGGTTTGATTTTGCTATTGAGGTGCAGTTGGTACTCATTATTCTCGGACACGGCACTCAGCTTATACGCATTCACTGGCGAGAACCTTGTCGCCTCTAACACCACGCCCTATTCCAGGTCGATAAAGATATGCCACGAATGAATACGAATTAGCATGGAGCAGATCATACAGAAAATAAGAAAGGACCAGTTTGGTAAAGCAATATAGGCAACGAACCTCGTGGGAATCATTCCCAGCCAGCCGGTTCAGCTGTTCTCGTGATACTTTGACGACTTTTACGCCGCCATCCTTGGCAACCTTGACACAATCCTGGACATATTTCCATCTCTCGATGCTGTCCAGGGATGACGATGGCGAATCAACCGCGCTGTAATAAAGCGTGTGGGGCATTCGAATTTTGGCCTTAAGCGCTGGAAGCACCACTCTTGGAGAGTATAGATAGTCCAGGTTGTTCGACACTTTAATCGGTTCCTTGTGCACTGGCTCTAGGTCCTCCGCAGTATCGATACCTCCACTAGGATCGGTTCGACCTCGACTTTGATCTCGATTGTCTGGAGCATCCGTATGCTCTGGCGACACGACTCTTTCGATCAGTTTCGAGCTGCGATCGACTCGGTCTCGACCCCGATCTCGATTGTCTAAGGTCTCTATATGTTTTGGCGATGCGACCCTTTGGATCAATTCCGAACTACGATCAACTCGGTCTCGACCTCGTTGGTCCCAAGAATCCCTATGCCTCGGAGAGTCATTCTTCTTCACCTCCTCATCAAGACTTCCGAAGCCAATCTTCCGCCTAGAACTCTTCCACGGATTAGCAGGAAGTGTAGGCGGTGTCTCTACATTCAAATTCTTCTTGCTGCCTTTACTCTCTACTGGAGGGCTGCTGCTACGGTCACCGGTCCTGTTGATGTCAGTGTTGTGGCTATTGCCGGAAGTATAGCCCTTTGCATACGTATCAGGCGTTTCCCACAATGAGGATGCCAACGCGGATGCGGACGATAATGCGGAGCGTGGCGGGGAGGACGGCAAAGGTGATGTTGGAAATAAGGCGGACGAAGGCATGAGGGGCATCGTCCGGTGGCTGGGCATGATGTTGAAGTCGTCAGGCTGTACAGTCGGATGGACGCTCCAATCGAGGATGGTCCTACTGGTGAAGCGATCAAATCGCTTGGGCGCCTGGGATGGTCTCCGTCGCTGCTGTTGTCCCTGTTGGTGAAGGGTTGAGGAGGAGATCACTTGGCGAGTCACATCTGG